ACTGGTAATACCTATAAATCCTAAACATTACTATGAACTCCTTGGGAGTTACTATATACTACAGACCCTTTTATAGAAGCGCAAACTTATAAAGTAGTTAATTTTTAAATAGTGAAATATTAATCTCACGGCTTGATCGTTTTTGATAACCTAAATATGCGTTAGGGGAAAATGTTTGTGAATTTATAAAATAATTATTGTATCAAACTATATCATGTATGGAAACTACAGACCACTGTACGGTTGATAAGTACTTATAAATCAAAAGTTAGCCCACACTCGAATCAAAGTAAAGCTCATCGAAACCAACGAGATCAATCATCAAGCCCCCACCACCACAAAAAAAAAAATAATAATAAATTAACTAACAGCATCAGCGAATTGCGGCCCAAGGATATATGGAGGCAATATATATATAGGGTCTCCTGCAGAAGTCGAACATCAGGGAGAGCGAAGTGGTCTATTTGGTGATGCTGGAAGCTTGACGGTAAATGCCCCACCACTGACACTGAATTGAGCCATTCTAAGAACATGCGCCCCATATATTATGAGCTGGCTGTTGTTTTGTTGTTATACACATACCACATAAAAAAGAATATAATAAAATATATTTTAGCATTAACTGTAACATGGAGTGTTTCAAACTGATGTTTCAATTTTTTTAAATGGTTGTACTTGGCTTTATAAATAAATATATATTTAGATTTGTTGAAACTCGAAAGCTTTTCGTTTTACTTTTGGACATTTTCTGGCGCCTTAAAGAGTGCTTTAGTAATTAAACCTACTTTAGTAAGACATAATATAACGGAATTGCTTTAATAAAATTGTTAACATTTATGTTTTTTATTTAAATAAGAAATGTTTGTCAAAATTTTCTTCAATCATATCTACATCAATCGACCATTAGCAACTCTTTGAAACACTCTGAATGTACATATAAACAATACTTACTTAATACTCTACTATTTAAATAATGTCTATTAAACTATCCTATGGATTTATACCTCTTGTTGTTAATATTGTTACCAGTTTTATCTGCAACTTTGTTTATCCTTTTGTGTGTTCTCGACCACAACACCATCGACCGATCTTGAGTTATATTTATATATATATATATGAAATAAACAAAAACTTTTGCCCATTGTCGTTCTTATTCAACTTTTTGCTGTTTATTGTTTGAATACGCCACATTGGGTGGGTGTATTATGTTCACGGAACACTTGCATCAGGCATCCAAATTCATGAGATCCATCATCTTCGACATTTTATGACCGATCGTCTATATAGCTCGCTTATCACAGCACACGACATGCGTCATAAAGAACATACGAATCAGATTCCGCAGAGAGACAATTATCCAAGCGCCTATGTTTCGAGTGTAGTTTTGCGGTTAAGTGCATGTTATCTGGTTTTATTCTCGAGATTAGGGCGTCCGTCCAGATGAGTTCCATTCTTAGGTAATTACTAATTGTTTGTTGTTGTTTCTGTTGTTGTTGCTGCTGCTGTGGCTGCGGCTACCGCATCCTCAATAGATTAACGAAGCATGCCCCATGCACACCTAACCCCCAGACTTGTGCTTCCCCTGCCATAAACGTATATTGATTTCGATATCTGTATAATTTGAACTAACTTGATCCCATTTTATCCGTTCAACAGCAACTTGATGCCTACAAGTCGGATAATCATCGCCTGAAGGAGGAGAACGCCGCGTTGATTAGAGTAATTAGCAAATTAAGTAAATGAAATTATGTTTTACTTTCAGTGTATGTATGTCTGAGAACCTATATCATCGAGAAGCAACAATTTTACTTTATTAACCAGCTGGAAAAAGGCTGAAAAAGAAAATAATGAGAATGTTAAAGCAAAAAGCGATGTGAGCGAAAGCGGGATATTCGCATGAAAATTTATAAATTGGTTTATTATTTGTGTTAGACCCTTAAGAATTAGGTGAAACCGTGTTTCAAATATCGTTGAGAATTGTTTCGTTCGTTTTTATATAAAAGAAAAAAAAACTTATGTATTTGGTCAAATTTTATATACGAGATAGAGCAAATTATAAATAAACTTACACAAATCAAGCTTAACTATATTTACATAAATATACGCGGTAAAAAGATCGTAAGAAATGAAATGAAAAACAAAAACAAAAACCTTTACATACAAACTGAGAACATATTCATCAAATGAGCCCTAGTTACATTACAGATTAGTTTAACTACATGATACATAATATATATATATATATATATATATTTTCATATATAAATTATATATACACATTACATAATATATATTTAAAGCAACAGAATCATAAGTTCAACATTTCAATGTGTAATATCACCAAGGACAAGGACCCAGACCGCCAGTTGAGAAAGTCCGGAGATGTGTCGAAACGAGCCCACGCGTCAACTTACTAAGTGTAATCATTAAAATCATCCAATTGTAATTGTGTTTAGTGCTGCAGATAAATACATATATATACAGGCATCGGCGAGGCCATCAAAAGCTATAGCATGTGTACCCATAAACTAAGGAGACTTCGTTGCTAAAGCTCCATGGCGCTAATCTATAGATCAAGATGTGTTTTACAACCAGATGCACTAATAATTCTATTATTTGAGTACCTTAATTTAAGCAGACACTTTTAGTTCTCTCCTTCACTTCGAAACGTATTATATACATTTACATCGTACTATATTTTACTTTCGCTTATAACGAAACAAATGATCATACGCATATTTCTGTTATTTATTAAATTCGCTTAAGAGATTTTGTGTTACTCGTAAATGGAAACGATAATCAAGCATAAACAAACATAAAAACGTGAATTGTGTAATATGTAAAATTGTGTGAGAAAATATTTAAGAAAATTTGATTCAAATACGAAACTTAATAAATGTGATCGCAAGCAAATTTTAAATGTTGTTGTTCATTGGACTTTTCAAGGATAAATAGAATGGGTCGTCGTCTTCTGGTGTTTCTCGGAATTGTTTATTTTTCTCTAGATAAAAAACTGTCAATTATTTTGACGCTGATATCTCTCATTCAAGGTTTATATTTTTATTGACAGCATTCAGAACTGTTAATTATTTTACTACTGATAAGATCTAACTTTAAGTTAAGATGACAAATTTCCTGGGAACGTTTTAATTTCCATCTTACGTTAATTTTGTATTTATTACAAAATTATCTAAATTAGGTAATCAAAAAAAATCATTGTTTACGTAAAAGAAATAAAGAAAATCAATTTATATTTATCCATTTTGTTTTTTTTAACCTCGCCTCTCAAAAAGCTTTAATATTATTTTATTGGTGTAAATTATGGCAATATCTTACAAACAGCATTATCACAATAGACAAACAAGCATATTTAAAATTATAGTTTCTCTGAGCTTTGGCTTGTCAGCTATATAAGACTGCAACTGCATTGGACAAAGTCATTAAAGTATTCTGCAGTTCTACGAGGCAGTCGTCATTTTGAATTCCCCATGAAGATGCAAGTGATCATACTAGTTTTGGCCATTCTATCATGTGGCCTAGCTGTTGAGGTGACTCTCAATTGCGGAGAGTGCCTAGCCTCCACCGATGTCTACTGTATCAACCAGACTTCATATAGAAATTGTATAAGTAAGTCCAGAACAGATGTCCATTAGTCTTCAATGCTGACCCTTGAGATTCCATTTCCATCCAGAAAACGCTGCCATTGGCAATGTGATAAACTGTCCCACTGGATCAGTTTGCACCAACTCCGATGTCGTTTGTGTAAAAAGTTCCGAATTGTCTGAAAATATAGTGGATGTGTGTGGCACCTCTGGAGGTGGAACTGGATGTGCAAAGTGTACAACTCAAAAATTCACTTGTGTCAGCAGAAATCAGTTTGCTAGGTGTTCTGATACGACTTTAATCGACTCCAATATCTATGATTGCGACACCGATGAGATTTGCGTCTCAGAAGCTCTGGATCAATACGACAATATCTGTGTGCCCTCATGCGCCAGTGAATTTGTGGGTATTCATAAATAATTTCTTATGAGTTGAATTAATCTTTAATTTATTGGCAGTTGAATCTGAAAGCGTCGTGCAGCAATAGCGGATACACGACAACGACAACCGAAGCTCCGACTACTGTAACACCCAGTTTGGAACAGAAAAAAAGTGCCTGCAGTGCGGCAGCAACGAATCTTAACATTCCTACCACCACCAAGTACTTCTTCACAAAATACAATGCGGATACTACCTGCCGCAGTTATCTTTACTGCGAAAGAAGTGCAGATACCGATACCGAATGGAGAATTGTATATATGACTTGCCCCTCGTCCAAACCGTTCTACGATTCTGCCAAATCCGTTTGTGTGGCAACTAAACCGTCTACTTGCACCTAAATCGACCAGTTAGGATATTCTGAACAGGCATTATTTTTTTTAATAAAACCGGATTGTAAAGAAAAACCCTTTTGGTGTAAAATAAAATTTTTTATTAATTTAAATTACTTAAATTCTACAGAAATTGTTAAAAAATATACAATCAATAAATATCATCCGTATGCTAAGAAAAGGATTTATAAAAGTTTGTGTTAATTTGTTTACTTTGTTTACATAAATATTCCAACCACAGTATTACACAAAATAAATTTGATCTTTATAGCTGAATGCGTTACACATCAAATCCACTTTATTATATTTTGTAAATAAACTATTAATTTTAAATTAACTTTTATTATATCATAATATTAACATGTGACAAAAAGCCGTTTAGGAGTTACGTTTATAGACCGTAATTCTCGGTATGAAGTATATTTAATAAGCATGTTGCTGTCATTTGCTGATAGGTAATACCGTCTCTTTTAGAACGCTTAAATATTACTTTATGATCGTAGATTTTTGGCAGGCACAGACGGAAACAAATTTGCCCAAAATATGTTATCAAGAAAGGGACCCATAAACAGTTGAAGGTTGAAGCAAAGCAAGCTCGTCTGCTATATAAGACAGCAGATCGGTGGTTGGGATCATATCAGTTCTTCGCTTAGATTGAGCAACATTACCGCGAAAAGTGTTACAGAAACATGCAGAGGATAATCGCAATTGTGGCCATCATGGCATTGGGAGCATCATCTGTGACGGCACAAAGTTGTCAAACATGCCAGTCGGATAACGATGTGTACTGCCACAATCAGACCTCCTATCAGAATTGCATGAGTAAGTCCTGGATCCTTGAGTAGATACCCTGAGATATTTAAAACTAATTATATCTGTGCCCCTAGAAAGCGCTCCGATTGGAAAAGTAATCGAGTGTCCCTCGGGCACCGTTTGCTCCAATTCCGAAGATGTGTGTGTGGCTAGCTCTGCCTTGACCTCAACTATCCTGGACGTGTGTGGATCCTCTGGCGCAAACGGTGCCCAGTGTGAGGAGTGCTCGAATGGCGCCAAATACGCCTGTGTGAGCAGAACATCCTATGCCCGTTGCTCCTCAAGCGGAGCTCTACTCACCTCCAATGTTTACGACTGTGATTCCGATGAGATTTGTGTCATCCAGGCACTTGCTACGTATGACACCATCTGTGTGCCTTCTTGTGCCGCCGAATTTGTAGGTCTAGTGTGCTAATACAAATTGATCTTAATTAATATTTAATTCTCTTAAAGGTGGGCGTAACCGAAACTTGCAGCAACACTGTATACCAGCCCATCACCACGACAGCTGCTCCGCCGACAACGCCCAGTGCAGCCCAAAAGCAGCAGGCTTGCAGTGATGGCGGAACTAGCAACACTGCCTCTTACTTCTATGTCCCATATACTGACGACTCCACGTGCAACAGTTACCTGTATTGCCAGAAATCGGGAACCGACTGGGTGGCCATCTACATGTCCTGTGCTCCCACGAAGCCCTTCTTTGACTCGACCACCAGCAGGTGTGTGGACACCAGGCCTGCCAGTTGCTCGGTAACAACAACCACGACCACCAGTGCCACTTCGACTCAAACAACTTTATCTTCGACTGATTCTACAAGTAGTGATTCTTCCACGAATGCTTCTACTGCAGCAGCTTCTTCCACACCTGCTCCATCCGCAACTGATACACCCGGTGATTCCTCCACGGGTGCTTCTGAGTCTACAGGTGCTACCACTGCAACACCTGCTTCGCAATCCCCCAACTAAATCTCTAATGAAAAGAGAAAAGAAAAGGCATTCTCAAAGCTTTTAAAATCTTAATCTTAATTTGTAAACAATCTTTTAATAATCATTAAATAAATTTGAAATAATAATCACGTTACATTACGAATTAGTTATTGCTGATTTAATGTTATTGGGATCTTACCATTTTTAATATGACTAAATTCAAGGACACGAACTTAGGCAGTATTGATCATCAGCTAATGGAACTCACTTGTTTTTTGGGGAGAGGTGGTTGTTAGTGTATGTGTATGTAGACTTTGAAAAAGCCTCGAGATGTTTAGCAATTTATATGCCATGAAATACCATAGGATTATTAGCCGAAACCCCATAAACGGAGAAATGAATACGTATGTATGAATGTAGTGTGTATTAAAACAAATCGCGTCATATCTGTGTTTGTATGTACAAATCGGTTTACGCTAAAAGTAAAAGCATTTTCACAATGATCACATATTCATGTTGAGGACAACTACACTCATGATACTACAGACCTTGATATTGTGTGTGCATGCTGTGGCTTCTGTTTCGCTCAAAATTAATGGGTTAAGTTCTGTACATTGATGGCCGTAAACACTTGGACATAAACACACAGATGCGCACACAACTGATGGCGCGTCTAAATATATACAGACGGATATACAAACATATGCCTCCTCGAATATGATATTCCGAACGGCTGGCCGGCTGTCTGATTTATCTAGCGCACCCGGTTCAACGACGAGGGGAAAGAATATTCGAAATCCTATTTCATTGCTACTAGTACTGCACACATTACGATCTACGAGAATTTACAATAAAAGTTCTTGCTTAATTATCTTAATATTTCTTGCCGAGAGAAAGCAGCATATACATAATTCTGTTGCGGCGCTTTCTGCCACCTTTGGCAGCGATTGTCGCGGCAATTAAACATTAAATCAAATGAATTGCAGATACAGATACAGATGCCAATGCAGACGCGGAGCAGCAGGACCAGGGGACTGGGCTAGTTGGCCAGCCAGCCCACATTTAAATGCGCAAATGGAAATTGTGGCCATTGACGACGCACGATCTGCCCGGGACACTGTACGTGGGCAGCGGTGAATGCACAAACTGCAAAACGATAAACTAGATACATATATAGAGCCAGAAGATGATGGATGGGGCGTACGAACCTTTGGCACCCGCTGGTTGGTCGCCATGTAGCCGACACAGAACGACTGCGTCGTGTGGCTCCACATCACCTCGCCGCTGCTCTGGCCCGGATAGTAGAGCAGGGTCAGTGCGCCGGCGTAGAGATCCTGCTGGCGGGGCAGCAGCGGGGAGTCGAGGAACTTCTGCTTGAATGTCCGATGCAGACTGGTCACCGCACAGTCGCTGCTGAAGGCCCCGTGGCAGATCTCTCTGGCCAGCAGCGTTTTCATCAGGTACTCCCCGTTGCCGGTTGTGCAGGTGGCGATGGCCAGCTCGTCTGTATCGGTGGCCCAGCAGCCGGCTCCGTAGGTGGCCGCCTGGCCCACCCTGCCGGGAACTTTCAGCAGGATGCCGCCGGAGCTGCAGCCAGCCGCCGTATTTCCCGCCCCATCCACACAGACCGCACCTACTGTGTCCAAGGCGGCGGCGGCCAGTTCCACCTCGTTTCCGGGCTCCGGCACGACCACCGGTTCCTCGGCGGCCGCCTTGCCCAGTCGGCTGTTCACCACCAGATCGTACTTGCTCTTGTAGTGATTGAACTGGAACGTGGCCTTCGATGAGATCAGCACGGCGGGGTCCACCAAAGAGCAGCCCACCTCGTCGGCATACCTCTCCGCACCAGTGCCGGCGAGGATCATCGGTGGAATGCGCTCCAGGAGCTGTGGACTGGACTGGGCGTCGCAGATGCGTCTGGCCAACTGGATGGGGTTCTTCACCCGGCTGACATTGGTGCAGGCCCCAAAGTTCAGCGTGGAGCCGTCCATCATGGCCGCATCACACTGCACGGAGCCGTCCATGCAGAGATTGGAGCCGTAGCCGGCGTTCGTGTAGCCGCAGTTCTCCAGCCGGACAATGGCCGCCTCGCAGGCGTCCACGGCGGACCCTCCGTTGCGCAGAATGTCCGTGGCCCGCAGGCAGGCCTCCTTGATCACCCGCTGGTACTTGGTCTCGTCGATGCAGTTCCCAGCCCCTGAGAACGGATGGCGGTCATCAATCATCGGCACCCTCCTTGGCCTGGCCACATATACGAATACGAACCTGTGTGAACCGCCACGAAGCCGGCCATGTTGTTGGTATCGATGTTTATGCTCGCGCCTTGTTGTTGGCCTACTAACTGCAATCCGTGCGCTGTACGGCGTAAACAAACTCGGCGGCCAGAGTGACCGTGCGCGATTCGGTTAAATATACCACACTTAATAGAACCACATGATATTGGGCAAATACCAAAACAACACTCAGAAAAAGAATGTCTTTTAAAAATTACCTATAAATATTTTCAGACAAAATCTGTCAAGAAAATTTAACAAATTCAAGTTTATAAAAGTATAATTCTTGCCAAAATAGCATTGATTGATATTAACATTATGACAGCCGAAAGTGAGGTAACTTAACTATATAAATAATAATTTGATTAAATAGCTAAATAACTAAAATAATGGAGCAACTAACAATTTTTTATATAAAAAACCATTATTTTAAATATTACAGAAAGCTTGTGAGCTCGCCAAATATTTAAATTAAAATAAAGAATTTTAAAAAAATGTTTAAAGTTTTTCAAAATTGTCTAATTTAAATTAGTTTATAAATTATATAGAATATTAATAGGATTATTCCTACAAAATCATAATTACACATTCATATATTTTTACGATCGATTAGTAAAGGGTATGCTATCGAATATGTTTACAATCGTCCTTTTTTGCGATACATCAGTATTTCGTTTTCCCTCACATCTGGTCATACTGAATTTGTGATTTTTGCAAATAAAATATTCGCACACAAAGTAAGCACTTTACCAATGTTATGTGTACTATATAATCGTTTAAATACCTGTTCGAGCCATCTTAATGCCAATGGGATCGATCAACTACTATCGCGGGCCGAGTGAAATGGAAAGAAAGTGATTCGATTCGAATTCGATTCGATTCGCCCCACGAACAACTGTTTGTGTTTGTGTGTGTTTGTATTTAGTGACGTGCTCGACTGCAACGGAAAAAGACAGTACAATACGAGAGATTTTGGATAGCTAGAGAATTACTCACGTAGTGCTGGATTGTAAGCCATGGAAAAGTTCCCGCTGAAGGGCAGCAGGGAGGCTGCTGCCGAGGGCAACAGCTACATAACCGCCTACCAAACGGTGATGAGAAAGGTACGCCGTATATGTGATAAGTCCATGGGGATTGGATTTCCCCCAATCACCTACCTACATACGCACAACAATACATGTCGGTTGAAAAACATGAAATACTGGTTAAATTTAGATAAATGTGGTGGAAAAGTACATGGACTAGGTACAGCTGTATTTAAAAACATAAGGCGTAAAAATTCATATTCTTGCCCAAATTACGTTTTAATTGTTGGAAGTTCTACGTTTACAAAGATACATATCCACCCATTGGGTATGTTAAAAAATATATATATATATTTTTAAAAATTTTAATTTGGACACACTCGGTGGAAGAATTTATATTCTGGTTTAAACTACGTTTAAATTTTAGAAGAAACATTGGTAAACATTGGGTATTGACAAACAAAATTGTTTAAAAATTCGTTTCATAGATTCTTTATTTGGGTTTAAAAACTTACTTCTCAAACAAATGTTCTATGACTCAAATTTAAACGGATCTCTACTGTTTTCCGTATAAATGATTATCTTGGTTAGTTTCCAAATAATTTGTAAAAACGGGAGATAAAGGGCAGCAGTACTTCTACGAAACATGTGGAATAAGGGGGCGGAAATGGTGCCAAATGTAATACTATGAACAGATATACACATATTTATATTATTACCAAGCTTGCTTTGTCTAAGATCTTAATCTTATCAGAGTTAATGCGTAAACATAGCGCTTGCCAACCTCTCCGAATATCCGAACCGTATCTTAAAAGCTTTTTGACATTTTCACTCTTTCCAGTCCAACGGGCACACAAACGGAGCGGGCGGCGACGGCGACATCGAGGGATCTTTTCGTGACCATCCGCTGGCCCAGCACTCCAAACTGACCACCTCGCTGACGGCGCCGGGCACCGACGACGAGGACATGATCGACATCACACCGCGCTCCAGTCCGGGCGACGTGATCGGCGGAGGAGGAGGAAGTAGTAGCGGCTATCATCGGGAAACGGCCACCGAATCGGACACCGAACGAGATTTCGGACACTCAATCGGCGGCGGCGGCGGTGGTGGCAATCATCACAATCAGCGGACAATGCACCACCAGCATGTGCCAACTCACAGTGCCTTCGGCGATCCCATGGACGGTGAGTTCACAGAGATCGAGATCCATTGCGTAAAGCATCCGCATCCACATCCACATCCACTGGCACTGTCTGTGGTGTTAATCAAGATCATGATCATATGAGCGAGGCGACGTCACCTCACCATCACCATCGGTGGCGTGGCACACAGCTGTACTCGCTCTCTGGGAAATTCAATTAATACGTCCGATGATCATTAGCATACAGGCACACATGTGCATAATTGAGGCGACTCTGCTTGAATTCAAGTCAAATTATTGATATATGGCAAATAAGCAGCAATACAAGCCAAATGGTTGGCACACGTGATGCTAATTCAGAGAAATAATAATCGCGGACTAGTCTAAACAACCAGCTGGCACTTCTATTAGAAGATATTTATTGAAACGAGAATTATATTCATTGTGTTTGTTGGGTAAATACCAATACACATATGTGATGATCATTTCAATCACATGGAAATAATAATGTTAACACCACGCTAAAACGATCAAAATCAATTGAAATATCAAGTTTCATTGGAGCTTATGTTGGAAAATATGATTACGAAGAAGTCATGTATATAAAAGAATTGGGTTACAGCTTCGTGTGTCGAAAAAGTTTGTTATTACCAATAATAAACAATCACTCAAATTGCATTAAAAAAAAGTATAGAAAGTTTATAGTATCGACATAGGAATGAAATACAATTAAAATACTCAGAATTTCAGCTTTTGTGGTTATAACTTAGAAGCTCTGTTCCTCAGTGGACTTTGACACTAAAACCATTAAAATTAAAAGTTTATTGTCACTCTATCTAGACAAAATGAATCAGAGCTTAGAGTGTCAAAACAGAAATGTTTATTGTATTCGTGTTTATTGCTTTAGGAGCACTATCCTTCTACGGTTCCTCGGATGTGCAAGATGATATTCCTGGCATTGGGCAGTACGAAGATTTCCACACCATCGACTGGCAGCGGGACATTGCCCGTGACCGAATGCGGCATCGCTACATAGTCAAGAAGCGGCAGGACTCCTTGTGGGATCTTATAAAGGTATGTAGTCCTAAATAATATTAATCAAATAATTTTCTTAATCAATGATCTTCTTTCAGGGTTCCATTGATGCCGGATCTGGTTGGCTATGCGTTCTGCTTGTCGGCATTGCCGCTGGTTGTGTGGCTGGCATGGTGGACATTGGAGCCAGTTGGATGTCGGATCTGAAGCATGGCATTTGTCCACCCGCCTTTTGGTTTAATCGGGAGCAATGCTGCTATCCGGCCAAACAGTCGGTTTTCGAAGAAGGCAACTGTTCAACGGTGAGTGGAATTATATTTGTTTACTAACAAGCCCACTAAAACAGCTTTTGTATTGCAGTGGAAAACCTGGCCAGAGATCTTTGGCCTGGATCGTAATGGCACCGGACCATACATCGTCGCCTACATCTGGTATGTGCTGTGGGCCTTGCTATTCGCCTTCCTCAGCGCCTCCCTGGTGCGAATGTTTGCCCCATATGCCTGCGGTTCCGGTATTCCGGAGATCAAGACCATCCTGTCGGGCTTCATTATACGCGGCTATCTGGGCAAATGGACGCTGCTGATCAAATCGGTGGGCCTGATGCTGTCCGTGTCCGCTGGCCTCACACTGGGCAAGGAAGGACCCATGGTCCATATTGCCAGTTGTATTGGCAACATATTCTCGCACGTATTCCCCAAATACGGTCGCAATGAGGCCAAGAAGCGTGAAATTCTATCGGCAGCAGCAGCGGCGGGCGTCTCTGTGGCCTTCGGAGCACCGATTGGCGGCGTTTTGTTCTCGCTGGAGGAAGTCTCCTACTATTTCCCCCTCAAGACCTTGTGGCGCTCCTTCTTCTGTGCACTGATTGCCGCATTCGTCCTGCGATCGCTGACGCCGTTTGGCAACGAGCATTCTGTGCTCTTCTTCGTGGAGTACAATAAGCCCTGGATATTCTTCGAACTCATTCCTTTTGTATTCCTAGGAATAATGGGGGTAAGTCGAATGTGATTACAAATGGAAATAGTTTATTTACATGGTTTTTACCCATAGGGTGTAATTGGAACGTTCTTCATCAAGGCCAATCTGTGGTGGTGCCGCTACAGGAAGTTCAGCAAACTGGGCCAGTATCCCGTCATGGAGGTGCTCTTCGTCACCCTGGTCACTGGCATCATTTGCTACCCCAATCCCTTCACGCGCATGAACATGAACGAGCTGATATTCCTGTTGGTCAGCAAGTGCTCCCCCGGCGATGTCACCAACCCCTTGTGGTGAGTTTTTATTCTGCATTTGCTAATTCTACAAAATTCCTAACTACTTTTTACCATATTTTTTTAGCGAGTACAAACGCATGAACATAACGATGGGCAACACTATCATTGAAGTCACGGAGCCAGGTCCCGGTGTCTACAGCTCCATTTGGCTGCTGATGCTCACCTTTATCCTAAAACTAGCCATGGTCATCTTTACATTTGGCATGAAAGTGCCGGCGGGTCTGTTTATTCCGTCCCTGCTGCTGGGCGCCATCATGGGTCGCATCGTGGGCATTGGCGTGGAGCAGTTTGCGTACAGCTATCCAAACATCTGGTTCTTCACCGGCGAATGTGCGGACAGCAATCTGATTACCCCAGGATTGTATGCGGTGGTGGGAGCGGCAGCTGTGCTGGGCGGTGTCACTCGCATGACCGTTTCCCTGGTGGTGATCATGTTCGAGCTGACCGGCGGAGTAAGATACATTGTGCCACTGATGGCAGCCGCCATGGCCTCCAAGTGGGTGGGCGATGCTCTCGGCAGGCAAGGCATCTACGATGCGCACATAGCGCTGAATGGTTATCCGTTCCTAGACAGCAAAGAAGAGTTTGCGCACACAACACTGGCAGCGGATGTGATGCAGCCAAAGTAAGTACACAAAAATGGTTTCTATTTTTTTAAATTAACTAATTAAAACTCCCTTAGGCGCAATGAGACTTTGAATGTCATTACCCAAGACTCTATGACGGTGGACGATGTGGAGAACCTGCTAAAAGAGACCGAACACAATGGCTATCCTGTGGTGGTGTCCCGAGAGAATCAATATCTGGTAGGCTTTGTGCTGCGCAGGGATCTTAACTTGGCCATAGGTGAGTTAGACTTTAAATCCATGCTTATATTTTATACTTAAAAACTATATTTTGCAGGCAATGCCAAACGCCTGATTGAGGGCATCAGCAGCAGCTCCATAGTATTATTCACTTCGACCCAGCCCATTCAAAATCTGGGACCCCAGCCGCTTAAACTGAAAAAGATCCTGGACATGGCGCCGATTACGGTGACGGATCAAACGCCAATGGAAACGGTAGTGGACATGTTCCGCAAGCTGGGACTGCGACAAACATTAGTGACACATAACGGGTGAGCTCTTAGCAATCAGTCAATGTATCTGTATCGAGTAAATAAATCTATTTTCCATTGCAGTCGCCTACTTGGAGTAATTACCAAGAAAGATGTGCTGCGGCATGTGAAGCAGATGGATAACGAAGACCCCAATACGGTGCTCTTCAACTGAATTTATCAGCCAATCAGAAGCTGGGCGAGCGCTGCTTCTAGTTATTATATTTGTGAACTATCGCAAAACAACAATATTTGATATGTGCAAAATGCAGATTGCAATCTAAGTTTAAGTGAAAAGTTGAACGTGTGGATGCAGAGTGGACTGAAGTGGAGTCGCGTGATCGGATGTTCGAACGTGAGAGATTTAGCAAAATTGTGTGCAGTTCTATTATATATTTATATATCGCATATATCTCGTTAATGTTAATTGTATAATTTATTTTACGCTAGGCAAATGGTTATAAAGGATGTGTATTCATTTATTGCCATTTTGTAATTATGTCGTAACACTTTCTACGCACCACACATATTCATTTTATATGTTCACTTTGAGCCTGATAAAGAGTGTACACTATGGAATGATTAGTAGTTAATATATAGAGAACATTTTATTTTGTGAATTGCGCCGTTTTAACAAGATCCCCCGGAGAAAAACAGTCTAATTTTATGGCTCTAAGTTTTTTGCATTTTTTTCAAAATTCTACACAAAAAGAAACTCTTGTTTATACAATACATAGTCTATATTTACATGTGGTATTTGTTAGAGATCTGAGAAATTTTAAAATAAACTCGTGTAAATAGCAACCCTAAGAGAAGATGAAAACCGTACATATTAACATAAGCAGTCATGCAAATACAAGCGATTATTTCCAAACTGAGAACAAAATCAAATGTGAATCTTTAATACTCGACGTAGAAAATCTGGAACTCATCCCCATAAAGGCCAGCAATTAACCAGCGGCTGTAAGGGATTTTTTTTTACATTTTACATCACTTTAATTAAATTATTTCGCGTGTTTTTAGCTTACCCATTGTCGCTGCTTCGGATGAGGCTTCCTTTGCCGCGCAGCCCGCCCTTCACGTGGGCATGGGCTCCATCGCTCACCCTGTGCACTTCCAGTGCTCCATCATTGGCTGGACAGTAGATGATATTGCCATCCCGACTGCAGGCTATTACATTCTTAAAGGGCAATGGGATCTGCACTATCAATTGAGCCATATCCTGTTTCGTTGTATTGGCAGTAATGTACAAAGGTGATGGGATGACAATCTATTTACCTCATCCACAATTCGCATATCGTGATAGAAGGCCTGTCCACTGAGATCGCAACTGAGGACGAACTGGTGGCCACCCATCTCTGTTCGCAGCAGGGTGGAGACCATGAAACGATGTCGCCGTAGGGCCAACAACTGGATCTGCTTGGTGACCAGTGCTTGGCGACCAGTGCTCCAGCAACGATAAACGCCACCATCATTGGTGCCCAGCACAAAGTCATCCATTCCCAGGGCCACCAAGGCCGTTGGCTCAGATGTAACCGAGGCGGGCAGGGAGTACCTATTGGATAAAATTAGTATTCCAAATGTATTTTAAATGCTTTAGGCTCACTCACTCCCAATCCAGAGTCATCTGCCTGCTGAGATCCCACTGGCGCACGCTGCCATTGGCATAACAGGCCAGCAGTAGCTGTTCCCTTGGCCAGTCGAGAGCTACAGCTGCTCCCTGGGCGGAGGACACACTGTGGAGCTGCTTGATGTCCACGCTGGAATCGGAACCCCTGGCCTGTTCGTATAGCCAGATGAAGAGCTCGCCATCCATGGTGGAGCCGGCAAACATAGTCTTGTTGAAAGGATTCGTGCATAGACTACGCAGGCAGGATTTCAGGGAAAGGGTTTTGGCCTCGGTATAAATCACCAAGTTGCCATTGGACATCCGTTGGGGGACGAAGAGCTTCAGCTGCTGATCCACATGCTCGCACCAGTCGTCGTGGGGAGCCACGGTGGTGGCCACCAGCACAGGAGCGTTATTGGTGTGCACACACAGCCAGATGGCCAATCCCTGCGAGTTCTCCACTGCGCCCATGGATAGCTTTTGATAGGTGTACACCTGCAGCTCCTCCTCCAGGCGGCACTGGCTCATCGCGAACTCCTCCATCAGGGGAGTGGGATTCATCAGCTCCCGTTCGACCATTGGACACATTTGGCGCAACCACTTGGCCAAAGCCCTCTCATCGTATTCCACATCCTTGCTGCTGACCACTCGTTGCTCCGTTTGTGTGGACACATGCAGCTTCTCCTGCGTTCCCGTGGTGGCATCTCTGCTGGGAGGCGGTGGATCGGTGCCCGTGCAGTTGTCCACCAGGGCGTATTGCTTCTCAACCGGCTGGGTAGCCGGAAATTCAACGACCGGAGAGCTGTAGTGCGATAATACGTCCATTTTCCTCCAGCTTGTAAACGCTTCTGCTTGGGTTTTCAGGACTTGGCTATCGGTAACCTTGGTAACCACCCAAATCAACCCTTTAATATGTTTAATATGGTACCTTACTGAAGATCGGTTGTGGACTCAATTCTATTTTTTTATGAATTAATCATGTTAAATAATCTTTTATTTTTAATATTATTAATTAGTTTTAAAGATTGTATTTAAGAAATATTTGATTCAAAATTTTATATTTTAATATGCTTTTGGTAGACTTAATTATTAGCTTTTGATTGAAGGAGCTTAAAACCGAAACAAATAAAACAAAAAATATTTATATACTGGTTTTCTTAATATTTAAAGGTGGCAACCCAAGAGAAAGTGATATAAGGCGAATAGCTTTGCAAAAGACTATCCTTGGTAACTACTAAAATCAACCCTTAAATATTTTTAATAGGGAACCTAACTAGAGATTAGTTGTGGATTCAAGTCTTCTTTTTTAATTTAAGAAAGTAAATTCATGTTTTTTTTAATATAAATTAATAAGTGTTTTAGGTCTTAGCAAATCTTGAGGATTCCATATTTTTTATTTTTATACAAAATTCAAGATTGTTTTTTAAAAACAAGTCCAGTTTTTTTTTTGTTTAAGTAATGAATGTAACTTGACTTGTTTTTAAAAAGTTATCAATAAATTATTCTTGTACAAGTAGAGCAGAATAAAAATTATACGTTTTTAATTAAAGTAGCCAATTGTATAATTAAAAAATGTTTGAAATTGGTATTCGAAAGTGTTAGAAAGCGATTGGCATTGCAATAGAATAGGTGACAACCCATAAAAAATCCCTAAGATAAATTTAAAGCCATACATTTCAGTAGGCAATGCTGACATCTGTCAACTAAAGCTGTCATTACCAGCAAAATTGATTTGCAACAAAGACTTTTAAGGAGCTAAAACATAAAAAAAAAAACTAAAGAAAAATGTTGGTGGCATGGGCTAAAATGGCCACAGGTAAGACACAACCAATTTTATTAGCTCAACTCTTTCTGAATAAAAGAAAACCATGGCAGTGTGTGCAAGGTTTGGCCTGAAGATTAATCAGGCCAATGGTGGCCAAGGTGGAAGGTATTTGGGTAATTGTGTGAAGTTTCCCAACCATGCCCGCTCCTTTCACGCATCCCTCTCGCTTTGGGATGACAAGGGAAAGGACAAGGACAAGTTGAGCGATGAATGTGAGCCCGAGCCGAAAGAAGTCTGCAAGACGGACGCAGAGCTGGTCAAGCAGAAGGATGAATGCGAGGATGGGGAGTCGGGCGGAGGAAAAGGCAAGGAGCTGGAGAGCAAGGGTCGCAAGGGTGTTATCCACGCCGTCATCGGTCCCGTCATCGATGTGTACTTCGAGGAGGAAGTTCCGGAGGTGCTCAATGCCCTCAAGGTGCTGGATTCTCCCATCGATAACCTGGTATTGGAGGTAAGTCGAGGGTTTATAGTTATAGTTAACTCTGATTTATTAGAAAATATATCATTAAAAATGGGTAAAATATTAATTTTTAACTGAACTAATTTAATAAGTGCTCAATGGGTGTTCAAAATTTCTATAGATTGGAAAGGTGTTTAAAAAAATTATTAGGTAACATTTTTTTTAGGGTTACGAATTGGATTCAAAGTTTATCACGCATACGCACTGTTGCATTTGCTTATTATAAATGTCGAATAAGTAATTTAAACGAAAAATCGAACTGTTTGAGAAACCTTTTTTTTTACCCACCCCAATATAGATATTCCTAAAATAGAGCATATATTTTCCTAAATTTTTATAAATCTGCTTTGAAAACTTTATTGTTTCGAGCTTATCAATTAAAAATAAATCTATATAATGTGAGATGCTACTTGGTAGGAAATTTCGCTGATAAATACATGTCCTCACATAGGTTTTCCATCACCTGGGCAACAACATCGTCCGTTGCGTGGCCATGGACTCCACGGAGGGTCTGCGTCGTGGTCAGAGGGTCGTCGACACCGGCTACCCCATCCGTGTGGCGGTGGGCAAGGCCGTTCTGGGCCGCATCCTGAACGTGGTGGGCGATCCCATCGACGATCGCGGCGAGATCAAGTCGGATTACTACTCCTTTATCCACAACGAAGCCCCGGAGTTGACCGATCTGAGCGTGAAGCCGGAGATCCTGGTCACCGGCATCAAGGTGATTGATCTGCTGGCTCCGTACGTGAAGGGCGGCAAGATTGGTCTGTTCGGTGGCGCCGGTGTGGGCAAGACGGTGCTCATCATGGAGCTGATCAACAACATAGCCAAGTCCCATGGCGGCTACTCGGTGTTTGTGGGCGCAGGCGAGCGCACCCGTGAGGGCAATGATCTTTACCACGAGATGATTGAGTCGAAGGTGATCTCCCTGGAGGATGACACCTCGAAGGTGGTGCTGGTCTTTGGCCAGATGAACGAACCGCCGGGCGCTCGTTCCCGCGTGGTCCTCACCGGACTGACCATCGCCGAGTATTTCCGCGATGTCGATGGCCAGGATGTGCTGCTGTTCATAGACAACATTTTCCGTTTCACCCAGGCGGGATCGGAGGTGTCGGCTTTGCTCGGACGCATTCCCTCGGCGGTGGGCTATCAGCCGACTCTGGGCACGGACATGGGCACCATGCAGGAGCGGATCACCAGCACCCGTAATGGTTCCATCACCTCCGTTCAGGCTGTCTACGTGCCGGCCGATGATCTCAGTGATCCTGCTCCGGCGGCTACCTTCTCGCATTTGGATGCCACCACAGTGCTATCGCGTCCAATTGCTGAGCTGGGTATTTATCCGGCTGTGGACCCCTTGGACTCCTCGTCCCGCATCCTCGATCCCGATGTGGTGGGCGAGGAGCACTACAATGTGGCCCGAGCTGTTCAGAAGACCTTGCAGGCGTACAAGTCGCTGCAGGACATCATCGCCATCCTGGGAATGGACGAGCTGTCCGAGGACGATAAGTTGACGGTGGCCAGGGCACGCAAGATGCAGCGCTTCCTCTCGCAGCCGTTCCAAGTGGCCGAGGTCTTCACCGGACATCCCGGCAAGCTGGTGCCCGTGGAGAAGTGTGTGGAGGGCTTTAAGCGGCTGCTAAATGGCGAATACGATGACATCCCGGAGATCGCCTTCTACATGGTAGGCGATGCGGAGGAGGTCCTGGCCAAGGCCAGCCAACTGGCCGCCAGCATGTCGGGGGATGAGCCCAAGTCGCCGCCAAAGGACAAGAAGGACGAAAAGGACACCAAGGAGGCCAAGCCGGAGGAGGGCAAGAAGGAGGAGCCCTCTAAAGGGGAGGCCAAGGACGACAAGCCAAAGGATCCGGAAAAGAAGGACAAGTGAATTTGAATGCCTAATTCCCCCAAATATGGGAACTATAAGTAAACTACAAGATTTCGTTTACTAATTATTTTTAAGAATGTTACATTTTGTAATTTTTCAAATACAAATAATACAAATTTACTCATAACAAACATTAACATTAACATGAATTTTAAATTAATATAATTTTAGGGGCTTAAAACTATTATATTATTTGTTTTTTTTTTTTGGCTTACCAAATATATCTGAATCACATATTATTTTAAAAATGTTAATATGTTAAACTATTCAAAATTACTTTAAAATCATTCTTTATAAAATGTAAAATGATGGGTGTTTAATTTTAATTCTTAAATATTTTGAATCTTAAAAACAAATGCAGTATTTTGCCTCCTTTTTGTAAAATATCCAAGCCTAGTTGTTTATTAAAATTTGTTTTAAACTTACAATCCAAATGGTGAATCGTGATTACGTTCCACATGAACGTGCAGTGTAAACGGTGCTTACGTTCCACTTAAACATATGTTTTCCACTTTGCCGGCTGTTGTTACGTTTTATCTCCTCTTCTTCTTCGGCTACAAAATGCTACGGATTCTAAATTTTCGCTTTGGAAATCGTTTATATTCTGTGAAAGCTGCTAAAAAAGATGCGAAAAAATATACAGACACCATCAACCTGCCGAAGACCAAGTTTCCCAATCGTCTGACCGCAGCCAAACGCGAAGAACAGGAGCGTCTTGTTCTGGAGGTAAGTTCTTGGACATTTGAAGTTACCAAATCTCCGATTACCTATTACATATTGCAGAAGAAGATCGCCGTTTCGTATCAATACCAGGAGCAGCGACTGGCGGAGAAGGGACAACCCACCTTTGTGCTCCACGATGGACCTCCATACGCCAATGGCCAACTGCACATGGGCCACTCGGTCAACAAGATCTTGAAGGACATCACTCTGCGCCAGCGGGTGGCACATGGTCAGCAGGTCAACTACATTCCCGGATGGGATTGTCATGGCCTGCCCATCGAATTGAAGGCCACCAGCACTGCTCCGGGACAGAATGCTCTGGAAATCCGGCAGAAATGTGGGTTACTCCCTGGGATGCAAATCCGTTTCTAATCCCTTGTAATCTAATCCTACAGCTCGCGCTTTTGCCTTGGAGGCCATCCAATCGCAGAAGGAGGAGTTCAGAAGCTGGGGCATATTGGCCAACTGGCAGAAGGATGATATCTATATGACTTTCCATCCCGAGTTTATAGTCAATCAATTGCAAATGTTTCACAATCTTTATGAGAGAGGACTTGTATATCGAGATTTGAAGCCGGTTTACTGGTCTCCTTCCTCCAAGTGAGTTGGATAGACTACTAATGGTCAAAAAAAATTATATAATGATTCTTTAGGACAGCCCTGGCGGAGGCGGAGCTGGAATATGATCCCAACCACATAAGTCCTTCGGTATATGTGAGATTTGCCTTGAATCCCAATGGTTTACCCTTGGAAACTAAGGATAAACAGATTTATGCCCTTGTGTGGACCACAACTCCTTGGACACTGCCCAGTAATCAAGCCATTTGCTATAATCCCTCTTTGGAATACATGTTGGTTAGGCTGTCGGATCACAGCGAGGACGAGCTATATCTCATGGCCTCAGCCCTCTCGGCAGACTTTGAGGCAAATACCCAGCTCAAATGTGAGATAGTCCAGCATTTGAGTGGCAACTCATTGGGCAAGTTCAGCTATAAACACCCAATAGACAAAGAACAGTCTAACCTGCCCTTCTTCGATGCTAGTCATGTGCAGGATAGCAAGGGTACGGGCTTGGTGCACACTGCTCCTGCCCATGGACCCGAAGATTTCCTCGTTAGCCTGGCCAAGAAAATACCCGTGAAATGTTTGGTAAATGAGGAGGGCATTTACACAAAGGAAGCCCCTGATTTTCTACGCGGACAATCGGTGCTGGAGCGGGGAAATCCTCTTGTCTTAGAGCACATAGCAGAGGATGTGGTGCACTTCGCCAAGCTGGAACATTCCTATCCCATAGACTGGCGCACCAAGCAGCCTGTGATAATTCGTGCCAGCGAGCAGTGGTTCATCAATACAGAGAAGCTGAAGACTTCAGCTGCTGACGCACTGGAGCGTGTGGAAATCTATCCCCGAACAAATGCCGAGGCCAGCAAGAAGGCATTGCTCACCCAGCTGCAAAAGCGACCCTACTGGTGCATCTCGAGGCAGCGGGCGTGGGGTGTTCCCATTCCCGTTCTCTACAGTCGGCTGACTGGAGAAGTAGTACTCAATGCTGCTCTAATCGAACACCTCTGCAATCTTTTACGCCAGGAGGGATCCATTGACTTCTGGTGGGCCAAGACGGTGGAGGAAATTGTACCCACCAATATACTCAGTGAACTTGGCTACGAAGCCAAAGATCTCGTCAAGGGAAATGACATATTGGACATCTGGTTTGACTCTGGCAGTACTTGGTCTGCTGTGCTGAAGAAGGATAAAGTAGCCGACTTGTATTTGGAGGGCTATGACCAATTCACCGGCTGGTTTCAATCTTCCCTGCTAATGAGCATTGCTGCTCGAGGATGTGCGCCCTACAAGTAAGTTAAGATGTAAGAAAACTAAGGAACAACTTTATAATGACAATCCCTTTGAGGGCCCTCTTTGTACATGGATTCACGGTGGATGAGAACGGCTACAAGATGTCCAAATCGTTGGGAAATGTCATTTCACCCAAGCAGATAACCAAAAAGTATGGAACAGATGCCCTGCGCTGGTGGGTGGCCTCCCATGGAACCCAGCACATGTCCATTACGGTCAGCGATAAGCTGCTGCAGCAGGCGGCTGAGAATGTGAGCAAGGTGCGCGGAACACTAAGGTATCTAAAGGGTGTAATTGGAGAGAAACAATCAGACGAGCAGCTTCTGCTTAAAACTCCCGACACGAGCTATTTAAACCGATACTTGCTAAGCCAGTTGGTTGAATTTGAATCTGAGGTAGGACATTATCTTATCCCCTTATATAATATATAACTAATCACTCTACTCCCATTTAGGTGGTGAAGCTCTACAAAGCCTATGAGTACAATCGCGTAGTGGCCTGCGTTCAAAACTTCCTTGCCAATCAGGTGTCCGCCATTTATGTGCATCTAATCAAGGATCGTTTGTATTGTGGGGATGATCAGGAACTGTTTGCTATTCGTCAGACGCTTACCCACTGCTACCAGCAACTCTGCAAGAGCTTGTGGCCCATTGTTCCTTTCCTGGTGGAGGAAAGCTGGAGCTATTACGATGCCAAGGGTGGAGCATTTCATGAGCAGAGTGTTCGAGCTAACCCAGAATGGCGGGACACAAAAGCCATTGAGCTGGTAAAGGCAGCACTTGATGTCAAACGTCTCATTAACCAGCAGGCTGGAGAGGTAAACACTTGGCACTTGGCTGTAACCATTAAGGGAAGGAAGGGAAGCCAGCTCGATCTGCTGCAAGAACTTCACTGCTCTCTTGGAGAAACTTTAAGAAATTCAGAGCTATGCGAGATACTGCAAGTGGGGTCTGTTACCCTCGTGCAATCCGATAATCACGAATTGGACATAGCCATAACTACTCTGCTGACAACGTTGTGTCCACGTTGTCGTCGATTTAGTTTGGACGAGAATGACGAACACGAGACCTGTGAACGTTGCTCTGCGATAATGAATGTAAAGCATTAGGTTTTGTTGTTTTCTAGGTGTAAGGAATACATTTATGTTTTTAAAAACTCTGCAAGCACTTCATGATGGTGTCCCGCAGTTTGAGACGAGTGGTTGGCTTTCCGCCGCAGATGATGTGCGTCTCGTTGTCCTCAAACTTGATGACCGTGTCCTCGTTGACAAGATTCAGAGTCAGAGCGCCACCAGTGCGGTCCAACTTGATGTTGGAGAAGCCATCTTGCGTCAGTCGCTTCATCACAGCCTCCACATCAATGCTGCCATACTCGTACTTTACGTTCTTCAGCACATCTTCCTTCGTCGGAGCGGTGATATTCGAGCTGGTCTCCTCTTTAATGGTGTCCGCGCACGGCTGGATGCAGTGCACCTTGTCCTTCACCTGCAGAACGCCCGTCAGCGTGGAGAAGGTCACACCGGCAGCCACTTCCCGCGGCGATATCTTTTGGGCCAGCTCCGAGGTGATGTAGATGCGGTCCAGCTTCCGTTTAAGCGGCAAACGTATAATCTCGCCGCACTTGAACGTTATGATCTTCTTGTCCGGCTGTTCAATGAACAGATTAGGGGCTGAGGGATGTGGCTTTGTGTACGCCTCCGGAATGACCAACACATTTGGCTTCAACTCCTTGATCAGCTTATTGGCCTGCTGATAATTCAGGGAGGTGTCGATGGGGCAGTAAAATGCCTTCATGGCCAGTGGTTGGAACGGCGCTAACACTTGCAAATAAGGGAAGTCCGGCTCTGTGAATATGATGGAGTTATTGGGATTGTTGCCCCACATCTCAATAAAGTGCACGGCATCGCCAAAGCGCAGGCTTGGATGACCACAAAAAACAACGCAGGGCTGTGTGAAAAGTTAAATTAAGAGCATTTAATTTGAAGTTCCGATAAAGTAAATCCTACCTGTCGGAAGTCCTTGCTAAAGCCCTCGGAAAACACATGGTTATAGTGCTTCAACTTGTTGTTGCGCAGGTAAAAGGCATGAGGGAATGGATCGTCTGGAAGATACACTTTGTTTTGCTTGGCCGAACTGAGCCACTCGGCCAGGATGTTGGAATAGGCCAAGGAACTATCAGCCACCGGCGAAATGAAGAACATGGGTACATTGTTGAGGCCGGCATTTTCCAGATTCTGTGTGAGGCACTCGAAGAGGTCATAGACAACGCCGGAAGGATAGCAGGGAATCAAAGCGGATCCATTGTTCCGGATTGTCAGTGCCACATTCATGCAGAGCTCGCCCAGCTTGGTGTCCGGATTGACAGTGGGAGCCTGCGTCAGTCCGGTCATGATGAGCACATCGGCATGCTTCAGTGCCGACTGGTTAATGGGACGCGGATGCGTGGTCAGCGTGGAGGAGCCGCTTACGTAGCAAATCTTCTCGTGCGCCGTGCTCAGCACCCAGTTGCTGGAGCCCAAGCAGTAGCCAGAACTCACGGGAGTGGCGATGAAGGCGCCCAGAATGTCCAGCTTCTCGTCGTAGCCCATGATGGTCACCTTGGACAGACTGCCCTGGACATCCTTGAGACTGAAGATGGTGCGCCACTTCTTGGCCCGAAAGGCTTCGCTCAGGGGACTGGGCAGCAGGTGGAGCTTCTCCTTCCACAGTCGCGCCGTGCAAGCCTTGGGCGACACCTCAATGTAGTCCACCAGTTCCTCCAGGAAAAACCGGCCGATCTGCAGCGTTGGCTCCGTCGCATAGACTTTGCCCTTGAAGCCCGTGTTCTCCGTGATGTACGGCAGTGCCAGCATATTAAGATAGTTCGAGATGAGTATCACATCCACCTCGCTGAAGTCCAGCATTTTGTCCATGGGCAGATTGAACTCCGGCGTGGAGTCCACGAACACCCGGCCGCAGCAGTCCTTCAGCTCGCCATCCATCTGGGGATCGTGATCCCGGCTGGGCACGAAGTTGGGCAGGTTGGACCACTTCAAGGACTGGACAAAGGGCAGCGGCAGGAAGTTCAGCACCGTCTGCTCCGTGAGACCGCAGTCCAGCATTATCCGCAGGCCCTTGAAGGTAATGATGTAACATGGCTTGGCCAAGTCACCGCTGAGGCAGTACTGCAAAGTGGACAGTCATTTCCGCTTCTGTTTATTGGCCAGATGACTTACCAAACGCATATTTAACTGCTTAACTGCCACTCGCAATGATTAAACGCTGCAAGTTTGTTTATATTTTGCAAGAGGGATGGAGAGCGATTTATTTCCGACAAGTTCATCTGTGAACCGGAGCTACTAATATAGTAAATGTGATGACTAAACTTTATAAGATTAATAATTAAAACGTTAAAAAGCTTTAACTCAAATTATAATTTGATTTTTTAAGATAATTTTAATTTATAAATTGTATTTGATCCACAATAAATAGTTCACCTAACTGGTTCCATATTCCTTGATTGTCCATCCCTGGTCTCTAAATCTTTTGTTTATTTGGTTTTTTGCTCGATTCAAAAATGTCTCAGCAAATTCGAGTTTTACAATGCATCCAATGCAAAATGTATCAGGTAAGTAAACAAACAACTCAATTAAAACCCAGCACTTAATAAATACTTGACAATTAAGGTGGACATTGTGAAAAAGGCTAACAAATGGGAATGTAAAATTTGCCGCCAAAAGCAGGAATTGCTCAGGGAGTTCTTTCGGGGATCAGGACCAGAATGCCGGGCCAAAGTTCAGCAACTAAACTTGGATCGTGGAATGCAAGAGGAACAACTGGAGGAGAATTTATTCCTTACCGCCCAACAGCAACTGGAGCAGAAGGAAAACAGCCCACAAAAACAGGAAATAACTTTGCCTAAGAAGACCACTAATAAATGGGCCAACTATGTGGATGAAAATACGGATAAATCTACAGCACAACCTACAAAAATCCAAGTTGAAAAGCATGTGGACATCTCTCTGAACTTTCATACATCCAAAAACAAAGTATCAAGATCTCAAAAACGTCCTGCTGAAAATAAACCAGCAGTCAACAAGAAAAGTTGCTCGAAATGGAACGACTTCTTATAAACATTGGACAACATTTATAAAAAACATTACCTATAAAAAAGATTTACATTTTATAACAAAGAAACGCCTCAAGCTCTTCTAATATGCATATATTTCACTATTAAGAAAAAGATATTTTAAGGATAAATGATAACTTTCTTAGCTGCTCAAAAATAAAAGAAATCGACTATTATAGTTGTTCATTACGTTTTATTAAAATCCGATTCGTTCTTGTATGTATGTATATATTGTATTGGTGTGAATCGTGGGAATCCAGATGTCCACATCTAAACTGAATACATTTGCCTTCCGCTGCACTAATGCTAGAAAAATACAAGTTGTATGATCCGCTAAATATGGTAGGTTAAAGATTGTTTGTATAGGGGGGGTTCTCTAATTGCCAATCGGGCTGCATGTTGCACATGCATTACACCTGTCGTATGCGCCACATTGGATTGAATACTCGTGGAGAGACAAGAGTGTTGGTTATAGTTAAATGACGCTTGGACGCGTGCTTATCTTGAGAGAAATTGTAATATTAGTAGCCATCTAGGTGTATATAAACTATTGCCGCCATCTAGGCGCCCTCCTTCTTGGCCACCTTCTCGTCGGAGCCGGTCTCGTCGATGTCATTGGACTCGGTCTCCCCGCCGGGGGTGCCACCTGCCTTGCCCGATGACCTGCGCCGCTTGCGGTTGACGCGCCACGGACGCATGGGAAACTTCATGGCCGGCAGCGGCTCCATGCCGAGTACCTTGTAGATCTGGCGGAAGGCAATGTAGCGCAGGAAGAGCTGTGCCGACACTGTGAGATCCTCGCGTTCTTGTTTGGTCAACTCGAGCAGGGCGTCGGTCGGGTCCTTCTCGCAGGGATCCAGCAAGCCGGGTCCGTTGATCAAGAATCCCGACGACAGGGCCTCCATAATCCGGCGCATGCAGTCGCCGGGTGAGATGGGGAAGCCAGCCGACGAGATCACCTTCTCCACGAGCAGTTCCAAGGACCACTGGGGCAGCGACTGCCAGGAGGCCACGCGCTGGCACAGATCCCTCAGGATGCGGATGACCATGACGCACGATTGCAGGCCAGTGGCCCGAGCCTGGAACCACTTGGCGTGCCGCAAGTCAGCCAAGGCCTGTAAGGAATATAAATTTATAGTTATCAAACCCACAGACTTATTGATTTAGGGGTTTTCCTTGAGCTACTCACACGCAGGCAGGGCTCACGAGCCAAGAATTCGGCATCGCCTTCACCATCACCTTCTTCGCTGGTGGAAACCTCGCCAGGATTGGTGTCGCGCAGCAAAGGCGAAGTGAGGGTAATCTTAACCGAGACAGACTCGTCCAGCACAATCAATGCAGCATCCTCGGCGTTGACCTCAACGCGATAATTGACCTGAATGTCGCCTGAAATCGAGAGAGCAAAGGAACAAAAAAACATCACAATTGTGTCGTCTGTGAAGAGGGCTCAAAAAAATCGAAATACTAGATTCGACTTGGAAAAAGAGACAAACATTGTGGGTGAAATAAAATTCCAGTGTGGGCCCGCAAAATGCACGTAATACATTGTAAAATAATGATTGGCAACAATTGATCTCAAATGCGACTTGATGCACGGTATGAAAAGCACGAATAATGTTTGTTTCTTCCCACGATCCTCGTATTCGCTCGGCTCCCAGCAAACAGGAGATTCATTCGACTTGCGTGCTGGGATCGGTATCGGAATCGGAATCGGTATCTCCGTTTCGGGTCTCGTAAACGGAATTGCAAGCTAGAGACTCGGACTCGGACTTGGCGTCATCCACCCGTTGCAATTCCACTTAGAGCGCGCACTTTTGTATTTTACTGAATTTCGACTCGAGTTGTTTGTTTTGGTTGGTTAGTTTAGTTTGCTATTAAAATATTGAACGAAATTTATGGCTGCGGGAATCTTTGACCAGACGTCTCTCGTTCAGTATTCTCCATTCACCGTGCGCAACGCAAATTTCGGTCGCAATTTTTATTTGCATTTATATAGATATGATAGATTTTCTATTCAAGACAATCAAGCTTGATACACACAATTCGGCCGCTTGGACATACAATATAATATATGTATACGAGATAATAGAGTATAAATATATTTGCTTGGTTTCGAGTGAGAGATGAGGCGCCACATCGGCGCTGCAATTTTGGCTCAAGCACTTGCACTTGCACATTGGCAATCGCGTCTCGTGTGTGGATCAATCATGGCATTGCTTCTTGGCGTGTTGTTGTGTTGTTCAACTTCTTGGCCAGGCCATCAAAGGACTTTATTTACACAAAGTTTTAAGAACGGGCAACCGGAATCAGAAACGAATCGAACGCGCAAACTTTGTATAAATATATTCCTTTGGTTCGAATTTCAGTTGGTTAAGAGTTTGGTTTGACTGTTCATCATGGACACCACACCACATTAGGCTGCTGGAGGCTGGCTGACTTGTGGCACCGAGTCCGCGCTTGTTACCGTGACGATCCGCCGCTGGTGGTTGGTGGTGGTGGAGCGGAGTGGAGCAGAGCGGAGAGCAGCAACAGCCGAGCGGGAGGAGGAGCAACCTGGGAGGGCTGAGCTACAGCTACAGACGGCTAACTGAACGACACACACTTTAGACTCTAGACTCACAGAGCTTCTAGGCTAAGGCTCAAGGCTCGAGGCTCGAAACTTATCCTGCAGAGAGAGAAGCTGAAAACGGCAAATACGTTTTTATTCGCAATTAGTTGCTAAGTTGGCGGGGGCGTTGGGCGCGGTTTGGCTGGCGTGGCAATCTATATCCACCGCAACAACAGGGCTCAACTCTAGTTGTCCTAGTTTATATGTACAATAATTTGATTTAATTTAATTTGATTTATTTTGCTGACTTTTTCCACACAAATTGCCCGTCGATCGTGAACGTAATGAATAGCGAATGTGAACGGATCGTGAGTTGCGTTCAACTTGCATCTTTAGCGCTCCGAAAATCATTTTCATTTTCATTTTTTTTTATTTTTTGTTAGTATTATTGACTAGTTAAGGCCGCTTCCATTTGGCCAAATTCACCTGCGCTGGTCAGAGTGAAATTGGCCAAGCTAAGAACGTATTTATTTATTCTTTTTTTTCTGTTTTTGTTTTGATTCAGTGATGCTTATTAGCCGCATTTATCACTCAAGCCATTTCTCTGGAAAAAGTTTTCATCTGTTCCTCTCAATAGGACAACCGAAATGTCATTTAAGAATAGTGCTATGCAAAAACTACCACTACGATGGCAGCTGCCTCATCTCACTTACCTGCCACCTCCTTGAGTTTGTCGGGCAGCACGTTGGCCACACGCTGCAAGAGACCAGCCGTCGGCTTCTCAGCACAGAGGACGACCAGCTCGACGGCGTTGTCGCCGTGAAGCAGTAGCCCCTTGGCCAGGTAGCCCACGCGCATCACTCCCTTCAGGATGCGCACCACATTGCCACCATTGTCGGCGTCTTTGTGGAACGAGAAGATCTGGTTGTCACGCCCATCCTTCTCCGATGGCTTGTCGGCCTTGTCCTTCTTATTGGCCGCTGCCGCATCGCTGGGCTGCTCGGCCAAGGCATCGGAGACCAGTTTAAGGGCACGCTCGGTGTGCGAGACGATGCGCTGGATGGTCTGCAGCTCCTCCTCCTTGGGATAGATCTCGGCGTGACGCGCAATGGCGTGGCGGTCGTCGCTGCTCTCCGGTCGTCGAACATTGCCGCCGGGCATCATTCCAAAGTGTGGCGGCGGTCCATTGCCCATGCGACCAAAGCGCTGAGCACCTGTAATGAAAAGTTTGAATATATTTCTACTCGGAATACTGCCAAAGTTAACTCCCAGTACCACTTAATAACCAGAAGTTTTGCCCTCAATATAGATTGTTTTAATACATATCAAAGGAGTTTCTTTACGCGCTTATAACATAAATTGGCATTTGTTCCACATTGTTACAAAACATTAAAAATCTGTAAATTAATAAAACTAAAACAATAATTAACCATAGGAAATACAATTAATAAATCTGGTATGATGATTTGTAAGCATTAAACTACCTTTAAACGTTTTTAACTCGAAAAGGAATTTGTCTAAAAGTGTGTCGCTTAAGAGTAAATCTTAACTAAGAAAATGATATTAAGCAACTGCGGCTAGAGTCCTGCCACATTATTACCTAATTCATCATGCATCTTTTAGTGGTGAGAAAGCGTTAATTAAAGATTTATGATTTCACTTGGCAATGATGCTATTTTTGACAAAAAGGGGTGGTTTCAAACTGGGGCGTTGACCAACCCCAAGGAGAATTGTGTGTGCACTCACCTCCGAAACTGCGCGACATCCAGTTGTTGTAGTCATATTCCTCGTTGTATTGCCGGTTACGCTGCTCTTCCCAGTAGTTGCCCTCGTGGTCGTCACCACCTCGATGCGAGGACATCATGGCCCGGTTGGCACGGGCCTCGGCCAGACGCCGCTGACGAGGAGTGGGCTTAAAGTCCACCACCAGATCGGGCTGCACCTTCCGCTTGTACTGCAAGCGATGACGGCGGCCCTTCATGTGCATCTCTTTGGCATTGGGGTCGTTGAACTTGCAGTCGCACAGCTTGCAGTTGAAGCTTAGTATCTTGCCCTCCTCGTCCTTGACCTCTTCGATATACTCGCCGCCCACCGGCTTAATGTTGTCCGTGTTCTCTCCCAGCGAATCGTCTAGGTTATCATCGAGATCTCCGGCTGCATCGCCATCGTTGGAGCCGCCCTCAGGCTTGACGGCGTTCGCAGCTCCTGCTGATCCGCCAGCCCCAGCAGCGGCGGGCACAAAGTTGATCTTGCCCATCTTCTTGGGCTCCTCCGAGGGAATTGGCTTGCCCAACTTCTGATGCAGCTTCACCACCTTCTGATGCTTGGCGCCGCGCACATGGGCGGCGTAAGCATCCGTTCCTGTGCAGGTCACATCGCACAGCTCGCAGTGGTAGTTGTTGCCCCGGTTCTGGGTGGTACTGGTGGCACTCGCGGACATCTTTAGCGAGGCCTCGCGTTTCTTGTGCTTCTGCCCCTCCAGATGCTCCCGATAGGTCTGCGGTCCGGCGCACGATATCTTGCAAACCTCGCAGTAGTGCAACTGCTGGGGCCGTGGTGGCGCCTTGGGACGCATACCCCTCAAAGCCGGAGCCCCCGGAATAGTGGGCCCCATCTTCCGCTGATACCAGTTATTGGGTCCGCCATTTGGCTTCTGATTGGGATTGCCCTGATGCTGCTGGGCCACGTACATGCTGGCTGCATTGTAGAGGGCCGTATCATAGCCGCTGTAGCTGTTGCCGGACGGAGGAGCCGAGCTGGGCGGCTTTGGTCCACCATTGGACTTGTCCATCTTGCCCTTAACCTGGTTCTTGACGGGCGGGGCCGAGTAGTGCGTCTTGCTGACCGAGGCTGTCGATCCGGAGGCGTTGTAGCTGGCCGACGATTGCTGATAGAATGTCTTGGTGGCATCGTACGATTGCATGGCACTCCGGTAGTCGCCGTAGCCACCGCCTGCCCCAGCTGCTCCGCCATAGCCCCCCTGTCCGGCGGCCACAGCGGCGCTCTGATAGGCGGCAGCGTTCGCGTAGGTGGCATTGGTTACTGCCGGGTACGAGACCTGACCCGTATTGTACTGGGTGCCGCCGTAGTTGAACCCAGCGTAGTTGTTATTGGCCATTGTCGTCGGTGTGCTGCAATTACGGAAATCGAATTTGTTGTCAATCTGTTTTTTGTGGCTAACCATTTGCATTTTTGCGGAACCCCCCACGTTTTAATGTGTGTGCGCTACTTACGTTAGCTCCTAGTCCTAACTTAACTTTCCTATCCGACGACTGTCAATATTTATGCGGGCTTATTCGGGAATTTATATGTGCTTTCCGCGTAATAGCCTGTTTATAGCTGTAAAGGCAAAGTGGTCTTAGTCACGTCATGTCGGAAAAGGACCACCCCCTCCATTTTTTCATTGGCTTTTCTCTATCGATTTTTACCCTGCAAATTTAGACGCACTTTTCGCGTGCTTAGCCGACATGCAAGCAAACACACGTGGGGAACCCTTTTCGAATAGTACTTTTAGCCCAAGCTGCACATGTTTGTAGGACAGTTATTGCAATTTTAATTACCTCAATTCGGTGAAATGAAAATTTCGTTCTCTTCTATATGCGCCGGTAGAGATGAGCTGAGTGTTGCCGCAATGATGGTACTATCGAAAGAAATATCGATAGTTAATATGTTACCGTATACAACTCGCTCTGATTCAGAACTCTGAAATTCAATTTAAACATATTTTTAAGCAAACAAATTACATTTAAAAAATAAAGATGGATGGCTAGTTTTGACTCTATCCTTGGACTTGACGACTTTAAAAACAACAATTTTTTTTGAATTACTTAAAGTTAACCATTAGGTTGGTCTTACCCACAAACAAAAGCCGCCAATTCGCCTGTTTACAGTTCTCACAAAAAATGCTTTATTTAGTATTTTAAATATTATTACCAACAGATCTTATCAACTTTATTTATTTCTAATAATTTGGGTATTCCCGAATCATCTGAATCGCTAAATTGCTGAACATTCAGCAGATGTATGTATATACTGAAATTCGGATAGCTGTTCCAGCCAATGGCTGCTGAATACCTAGAATATATAAAATTTTGCAAAATCTGAATTAAAATACCACAAGGCATCGATAGGTATTTCATTATATTTATCAAGCCACGTACTTCAACCTTTCGTGTTATCAGATACACCAACCGTTTCGTGCTGCCAGACAAATGAAAGATTGAAAAGTTTTAACCCTTCGATTTTATAAAATATATTTTATATTTAACTTAAACTATGTTGATTAACACAACAACATATATGTATATATATATATATAGTAAGCTCATTGACGCTATGTAGACTATGAGTGACTACTTAGAGAAAAATAACAAGATTTTAAACAATGAATATAAAAAACAAGTCTTTTTGATTTGTTAAAGTGACTGAAATGGAACAAGAAGTATTAAAAGTTATGGATTTGTAGTAATAACGTTTTTAGTACCCCCAATACCAGCCCTTCCATTTTTTGTTTAATTATTTTTCTTTGTTTACGTTCGAGATGTGTAGTGAGACGTCTCTTGCTATCGGTACTTGCATGGTTTCCGTGAAAAAAATCGATGGTTGCAGGAAAAACATCGATGTCATCGACGTTGGCATCGATGTTTCTCCACCTCTAACCTCGGCGCTCGTCAACAATATTTACTCGGTTTTCGGCAAAATCCAGAGAAACGCAACGGGAAATCGTTAAAAATGCGCTTTAGTGCACCGAGTTTAAACGCAAAATGAATTGAAGTGAGTGCACTGGCCGCAGTGCCCAAAAATTGCTGAAAAATTGTTGCAGGCTGTACAAAACTGATACACACACACGCACGCACACAGACGTGGTATATGCCACCACCCGCTGGCCAAAAAATGGAAATTACTAATACTACAACTGGCACGATGCTCCATATTGCCACTGGAGACATGTAAAAGTTGCAACTGGGGTTTTTTTTGTGTTATTTTTTATATTCAAGTAACCCACACAATCAAAAGAAATGAGGATTTTTCCAAGTTCAAATTTATAAAATATTAAGTGTTTAACAACTGCTATTAAATAAATATATTATTCATAGTGTATAAGCGAAGATTGTGAACACCCTCCCGCATAAACATTGAACCTTGCCAGATCGCCGGTTACGTGTTTTTCGCCCGCCATCTGGCAACGCCTGCCTCCCTCGATTTTCGCTTTGCACGCGCATTCGTGAAAATGGCGGCGTTCTGGCACCGTCGCTGCCAAATTTTTTGTACATCAAAATAATCAAAATAAAGCATTCTTCCAGTGCTCAACATCAACAATCATTTCGTGCGAGCGCGCGCGTGTGTGTGTGTGCGCAGGAAAAACCGCCGATCGAAAAAGTGTAAAAAGAAAAGCCTTTGAAGGCAAACAAAAGGCAGCGAATTAGCGAGATAACACACACCACACGCGACGACGGCAACGGATGCGCCAGGAGAAAGGCGAGAGTGAGAGTGCGAGTGAGCCAGCGCAGCACTAAGTCAGCGGAGCACCCGCTTTTTTGGCCAAGGTGAATGCGCGAGCTTACCTGTGTGTTCCGCCGCGTCCAGGTGTTCAACTGCATCTGGTTTATAGTCACCAGGTAGCCGGGAGACAGGTAGCTGCTGCAGTCCAGTCCCCCCGCCTACCTGTTCCACCGCCCGTTCTCCGATCCTCGTATAAATACTAAAAGCGACTCCCCTTGCCTTCCAGTTCGCCTCTGGAGTGCACAGCATGCAACAGATCGAGTTCCGTGTGATTCGCCAGCACAGGATGTGTGACACTAGTTGATCGGAACGGGATCACACACAGAAGTCAAGGACACACACACTCGCCAAACATAAACACCACACAGCACGATGAACACCAGCCAGACAGCTGCCGGCAACCGCATCACCTTCACCAGCCAGCCGCTGCCCAATGGCACCATCAACATAGCCGGCAATCCTGGAGCCGTAATATCCACGGCCCAGCTGCCCAACACCACCACCATCAAGACCATCCAGGCGGGGATCGGTGGTCAGCATCAGGGTCTGCAGCAGGTCCACCATGTCCAGCAGCAGCAGACGCAACAGCAGCAGCAGACGCAATCCGTAGGTGCCACCCAAACACAAACCCTAGTTATTAAATCCAACCACCATGCTGTCACCCTGCCGGCGGGTCTAGTCTCAAGTGCACCAGCAGGAATCGTAACCATGACCAAGACCATAAATCAGGTATCCACATTAAAGCTAAACCCACTTCGGGCGCTAGGCGATCGCAAGTCGGCCAAGTCGTATCACTCGTCCAATTCTGATCCTAATCCGAAACTTCCTCAACTCCTCGCTCGAATCGGATAGTAGTGGCCGCACACACTTTGGTTGTAACTTTTACTACGCTTACGTCTGTGGCTATCTCTGCTGTCTGAAAATCCCATACCCATGGCCAAATGGCGTAAAAACCAATCATTATTTCCACACCCTCACAAAAGTCCCTTAATCCAGGCAAATTTCTTATTCATATTCCTAGTTTTCTAAAATCTATTACTCTTTCTTTATCTATATGACACAAGCTAAAATCAGTTCAAAATTTTTACAACTTTTTAAAGAAAATAAAGAATTAAATGTATTTAAGTTAATAATTCTATCTTTAAATTGACATTTTGAAAAGCCCCATAATCCTTATCTTTTCCCCGCCCAATTCATTACCTCTTAATTCTTTATGTTCCAATTGTTGTCTATTATTAGCATTTAAAACTCGCCCAACTCCAAAAAAAAAAATCCAAAAGACCAATCCCCTCATCAAATCATTTTTCCCAACAATCTCAAGCACAAGCCCATATCTTAGCCTATTTTACACAACCAGATCCAAACCCTTATGTTTGTAGAACTTTTGCTTTCAATGCCTGCTTTACATAGAACAAATAGTAGATCACACGCCTTCAAATTTGGTCAGCACAAAAAGAATCGGTAAAACAACTTAAGCCCACTTTATTTGGGGTCCTCCGTGATAAACGCCAACTGCTGCATGCTGTAGGCCAACTTAAAATCCCGCAACCCCTCTCAATGCTTCCTCTGCCCGAAATAGACTTTGAAATGTGTGATGAGATAAGCCAGCGATCGATTGATTAACTAATGACAATGTTGTGTCCTTCGCAGGCTGGTCAACCGCTGCTGAACTCAATGTTGCCGGCGGGCGTGGTGGTGGGCATGCGCCACCAGACGCCGTCGCAGCAGCAGCAGAAGAATGTGCCCACCAACCCGCTCAGTCGTGTGGTGATCAACTCCCACATGGGGGGCGTGAGACCGCAGAGTCCATCGGTGAGTATGAAGGATATAGTGAAGCTATTGCTATGGTTGTTGTGGTGGGTTCTTCTCTACTAACTCACAGAGCTCCCTAACCCAACCGCACTCCTCACACACGCGCATGTGCACAGCCCACCATTCACACACACCATATACACCATATACACCATATACACCATACACACCATGGTCCAGCAGATGAAAACCGAGTCTCTCTGTCTTCTCTCTCTACTTTTAGATAACTTTAAGCACACTTAATACGGGTCAGACCCCGGCATTGCTGGTCAAGACGGATAACGGATTCCAGCTGTTGCGCGTGGGCACGACGACGGGTCCGCCGACGGTGACACAGACTATAACCAACACCAGCAATAACAGCAACACCACAAGCACCACAAACCATCCTACAACCACACAGATCCGTCTGCAAACTGTGCCGGCTGCAGCTGTAAGTAGATACCAACAACAACAACAACAACATCAGCAGCAACAACAACAGCAGCAATCGCAACAGCAGCAATCGCAACAAACAACCAGCACTACCGCCAGCACTAGCATTGCACTGCGCAAAACGATTGTCCGTACTTCATCCACAGTCCCATCCAGCAATAATAATAATAATAGTATTATCAATGCCACCACCACCACCAACACCACCACCACTACCAACAACAACAACAACAACAAACCCGCTACTAACCAGCAACAGCAGCAGCAACAGAAGCTCCAGCAGCAGCAACATCTCAAGGCCCAACAGCAACATAAACAGCAACAGGCATCCGCTGCGGCTGCCGCAGCAGCAGCAGCCGCCAATGTGGCAGCCACCATAAAGATCAAGCAAAACGTAAAGAGAAGCCAGCAGGATATAATCCTCAATCTTTTTTTTTTTTTTTGCTCTTCTCTCCTCTGTTCTCCTTTGTCTGTTATGCATTTGGATTTGATCTTCTTATTTATATATATATATATATATAACTACGCCTTCGCTTCAGTTACGTTTTGGTTCGTCACACGCGGACATTTAATTTTTATTTATCCAGAATACTCTTATATATTATTGCATATATAATATATATATATGTAAATGTAATGCATGCTGCGTTGTGTAACTGTCTGTGTACTTTCGATACTCCTTATTTCGATTCGATTTAGTTATGCGCTGTCCACGAGTTGCTGTTCTGGGCCAATCAACATGTTATAGATCTGGCTATCGGGCTGCCCCGACCAACGATGTGTGCTGGGCTGTTGTTTCATTCCTTGAGAAATCCCTCCCCAAACAAATGCTTCTTAAACCGAAATCCACTAGATCTTCAAAGCCGATGCTTACTAATTAACTAGTTCTCAGTAATTCACCATAGTTCAAACAAAGTTGTATATGATTATTTAAAAGATTTTCAACAAACTATGAGTTTAATTTTTCTTAAGAGATTTTGTTTACTAAAGTAATTAATATAGACATGAATCAATTTTTTTTAAACTTAAACTCTTCATGATTGCTTAACTTGTACTTAAATTGCATTTAAGAGAAAGACATTTAAGTGTAACTTCTTATGCAGTTCATCTCATTATCCATGCCCCAGCCATAGCACTTTCCCCTGCACACATATTTGGAGACCAGGACCCTAGAACCTGCCCATCAAGAAAAAAAAAGAACCATTATCATGTTTATTCTTCTATACAATATTTTAAATAATTATTCTAACGCTTTTTAGTCTAATTTTGCACTTTCATATTTGCTTATACTTTGTCCAAACACTTTATTAACCAAATCATTATTTTCCGCCGCAGTCTATGACCAACACGACCGCCACCAGCAACATTATTGTCAATTCTGTGGCCAGCAGTGGCTATGCGAACTCATCGCAGCCGCCGCACCTGACGCAATTGAATTCGCAGGCGCCGCACCTACCGCAGATTACCCAAATCCAAACGATACCGGCCCAGCAGTCCCAGCAGCAAGTGAACAACGTGAGCTCCGCGAGTACAGTTTCGACGGCGGTGAGCAGCACGACGGCAGCAACGACGACGCAGCAAGGCAATACCAAAGAAAAGTGTCGCAAGTTTCTAGCCAATTTAATCGAATTGTCGACACGGGAACCGAAGCCGGTGGAGAAGAATGTGCGCACCCTCATCCAGGAGCTGGTCAATGCGAATGTGGAGCCGGAGGAGTTTTGTGACCGCCTGGAGCGCTTGCTCAACGCCAGCCCACAGCCGTGTCTGATTGGATTCCTCAAGAAGAGTTTGCCGCTGCTCCGGCAAGCGCTCTTCACCAAGGAGCTGGTAATTGAAGGCATCAAACCGCCGCCGCAGCATGTGCTCGGTCTGGCCGGACTCTCTCAACAGCTGCCTGTAAGTCAAATAATATTTGGAACAATTTATGCCTTATTTTAAATTATATTCTTCAATTTGTTATAGAAAATACAAGCGCAAATCCGTCCAATCGGTCCCAGCCAGACAACGACCATTGGACAAACGCAAGTGCGCATGATAACGCCGAATGCCTTGGGCACGCCGCGACCCACCATTGGCCATACGACGATATCCAAGCAGCCGCCCAATATTCGGCTGCCCACGGCACCGCGTCTCATTAACACGGGAGGAATTCGCACCCAGATATCCTCGTTACAGGTGCCAGGACAGGCGGTAAGTCTAAATCTGAGCCATTTTCAACAAATTGCTTGAGTAAACATACAGTAAAGCCATTACAATTTTAATACAAAACATTCAAAACATGAGTACACCCTTATCAGTTGTTCCACTTTGTTTACGGGAAGTCCCCACGACTTAGAAATAATAATATTACACAGTCATAACATTTTAATTAATGTAATGGATTCTAAAAATTCGTTATCTTTTGAATTGAACAATCAACAATTTTATTTAGTGAGTAACATGGAAATCAATCTTAATTTGTCCCACTTCGAGTCTCTTATCAGTTACCATATCTCCCAGATTTCCGCACTAGTTAGTTATGTCAGGAAACATATGCTGTTTGTTATTGGGTATTGATACAAAAATAAATATGTAACTTACTTTTACCCACAGAATATTGTGCAAATTCGTGGACCGCATAATGCGCACCTGCAGCGCCCGGGATCGGTGCAGATCCGGGCCACCACCCGGCCACCAAACAGTGTGCCCACCGCGAACAAACTCACTGCCGTCAAGGTGGGCCAGACGCAGATCAAAGCGATTACGCCCAGCCTGCACCCGCCCTCGCTGGCCGCCATCTCTGGCGGACCGCCGCCGACGCCCACGCTGTCCGTTTTGTCAACTCTGAACTCCGCCTCGACCACATCGCTGCCGATACCGTCGTTGCCCACGGTCCACCTTCCGCCTGAGGCACTGCGGGCACGTGAGCAGATGCAAAACTCGCTGAACCACAACAACAATCACTTTGAAGCGAAGCTGGTGGATATTAAGGCGCCGTCTCTGCATACGCCGCTCATCAGCGCGTCGCTCACACCGATTGGAGCCAAGACGATGCCGCGGCCACCGCCAGTGATCAACAAGACGCTGGGCAAAAAGAAACGCGACGCAATGGAAATGGACGCCAAGTTGAACAGCACGAGTGGAGCGGCAGCAGCGGCGGCCAACTCGTTTTTCCAGCAGAGCTCCATGTCCTCGTCGATGTACGGCGACGATGATATCAACGATGTGGCCGCCATGGGCGGCGTCAATCTGGCGGAGGAGTCGCAGCGGATCCTGGGCTGCACGGAAAACATCGGCACGCAGATTCGTTCCTGCAAGGATGAGGTGTTTCTCAATCTTCCCGCCCTGCAAGCCCGGATACGGGCTATAACGTCGGAAGCCGGATTGGATGAGCCGTCGCAAGATGTGGCCGTTCTGATATCGCACGCATGCCAGGAGCGACTGAAGAACATTGTTGAGAAGTTGGCTGTGATAGCGGAGCACCGCATTGATGTTATCAAGGTGGGTTTAATCCTATTTTGTTAAATGGAAACCCATGTTAATACGCTAATTCAAACAGTTGGATCCACGCTATGAGCCCGCCAAGGATGTGCGCGGTCAGATCAAGTTCCTGGAGGAGCTGGACAAGGCCGAGCAGAAGCGACACGAGGAGCTGGAGCGGGAGATGCTGCTGCGGGCGGCCAAGTCACGGTCGCGAGTAGAGGATCCCGAGCAGGCCAAGATGAAGGCGAGGGTAGGAGCGCAATCGCCTTTCCCCCAAGCCATTTGCTTAAGTCTTTCTCTTATCGTCTAGGCCAAGGAGATGCAGCGCGCCGAGATGGAGGAGTTGCGCCAGCGAGATGCCAATCTGACGGCGTTACAGGCGATTGGTCCCCGGAAAAAGCTGAAGCTCGACGGCGAAGCGATCAGTGCGGGAGTGGTATGTACAATGAAATCCTTTGTTAAGATAGTGGCTAGGATATAGGTCTATTTTAATCCCGGAATGATTACTAATTAAGTTGTATTATCCCAAACAACTAGGGTTCCAGTGGCGGCGGAGTGCTGAGCAGTTCGGGATCAGCGCCAACGACGTTACGGCCGCGCATCAAGCGCGTGAACCTGCGCGACATGCTATTCTACATGGAGCAGGAGCGCGAGTTCTGTCGCAGCTCCGTGCTATTCAAGACATACCTCAAGTGATCGCTGCTGTTGCCCATCATTCGCACCGTCTTCTCCTCGCTGATCCTCCTACTCCGTGGACTGTCGTCGTCGTTGTGTTTCCAGCTTTACGATTTCATCCATTTGCAATATTATTTAGCCTCAAATTTAACTGCGTCGCGTCTACCCCTGTTGTTGTTTCTTTTTAGTAAGGCGCCCCTATTTAATTTTTATATTTACATACTTAAATCCTAAATTCTAATCGTATTTGATTTTAAGCCTAATTTAAAGCTCGTTTATTTTTTCCAATAAATTGTCTGTAAAACTTAAACCAAACCAATCCAAAAACAAAAAACAATACCAGAGTAACGTAAAGTAAACGAAGAGAATTAAATAATAGAGAGAGGAATATAAAAGTAAAGAGAACGCGCAGTCAGCGGGCGTTTGATTTGTAATTTGTAACATAATGTTTGCATCAACTGCATTGACGGCCTTATCTAAACGATATAAACATAAATATTAATATTTAATTACTTAGCTTAGTTTGTTAAACGAAAACGAAGCATAATTCCTAGATAATAAGTCAAAAGAAAGTGAGCGCGCGCGCGAGAACAAGAGAAATCGAAACCGAATTGCAGATAAAAGGGTTTTAAAAACCTAAAAATCGAAAGAAGTTCAGCAACAGCTAAAACAAAATAAAACACATCAAATAAAGAAGCGAAAAATATCCATTTAAAGCATACATTGAATTAGTTTTAGTTGTTTAAACAAAACAATGTAATTTTTAATTACCTTTAATGTATAAACGGAAAACCAATCGTTAGGCAAGACCACAACAAACCCAACAAATTGTAAATACATGCTAGGTTACGATTTTTCTAATAGATAACTAGGTAAAAGCAAACGTAATTAACGAATTCTCGATGGCTAGGAAATTGTGGGCCGCGAGCGCAAACATCTTAACACACACATTAAGAAACACGGTTCCCCGAATTCCCAAACGCCCCCAATCCAACCCGGCCTACACACAAAATAGACAAATTTTATACAATTAGCCAGATAAATCTTGTAATATACAATCCCAAAAAAAAAATTATTATGATATAACATACAAATTGACAACAATTGATGTAATTCAGTAAAAATAAGCAAAAAGGAACAATTCTAAACAAATTCTTTGTGTGTACATTCAAATAATATGATAAACAAAAAGCAGGCAAACGCAACCGTAAACACAGCGCATAGTTTGGTAGGCATATAACTGAATATAAATATATTACTATTATGTTTTAACATTTAAGCAAAAAAAAAATAAAAGAAAAAATTCAGAAAACTTCAACTGAGCACGGGAAATTATTAGTGGGAAAAATGTAGAGTTTATTTAAGTGCGCAGTGTTTTCTTATACTTATTATTATTTTATGACAGATGGAGTTTGTAACGGTATCTCAGTTAATTAGCTAGTTAAATCATTAAATTTTATGTAGATGAATTAATTAATTTTATTGATATTTTTATATTCATTTATTATGTTAATTAATCTTACTGAAATTTTGTGTAGCCCCCCCATAGAATGAAAATCTAACACAAAATAAACAGAACCAAATTTACATTTGGATTCAACCAGAAATACTTAACGAATTGGCCATTACTTTTTTAATATTTCTTTTGGATACTTTTATTATTTTTAATTCAATGATTTGATTGTTTTATAATTTGGAGTCGGTAAAAATAGATTTTAAAATATTAAAACCACACTCGATTTGAATTTTGGCGCCAAAAATCGAAAATTGCTCGACAGCCCCATGCAATCACTTTAGTATGACCCGATTTAAGTTAGTATTTTTTGTAATAATAAAACACGTTCACACTAATTGACAAATATAGGACTAATTGCAAAAAAAAGGAAAACAAATCAAAATATTCATATTCATGGAGTAATTCAACGTTAATAAAACACCGTAGATGAATAATTATATATATATCTCGAGAAAATTGATGCACTTCAGAGTGACAGCTATTGCCATCCCTAAAAATAAGAACATGTTTTTTGCCCTACAAAATGACTGAGTTTCTGGATGAAAATAATGCCTGTGGCCAGAATCTGCTGAATATTGTATCGGTTGGAAATTCTATAATAGCAGAGATTTTGCGCCTCAAGGACTACGTACCCAGTATTTATAGGTAATATAAATTGAATACTTTCAAACGATGATTAATGTGTGGCATTCGCCCTTGCAGATTGGAGTCCAAAGCAGATAAGGCGAAATATGGCGAGGTTATTCTGGATTTCAGCTACTTCAAAGTGGCCGAGGATCACGAGAAGAAGATCGAACAGAGTCCGGTAATGGGAATTGGTTATAATTGATTAGGCAAGGAATAAAAACCCCCTGATCTCCTCCAGGAACTGACCGAACTAGATGACGAGGTGCGAGCCCAGCTTCCGCTGATCACCCGGTTTTACCTGGCCTTCCAGAGCATACACCACTATGCATCCGATCTGCACCAATACATCGAGGAGCTGAACAGTGGCTACTATATCCAGCAGACACTGGAGACGGTTCTCCAGGAGGAGGAGGGCCGGCAATTGCTCTGCGAATCCCTTTACCTATTTGGTGTGATCCTCCTTCTCCTCGACTTCCATTTACCGGGAGATGTGAGGGAACGCCTGTTGATTGCCTACTATCGCTATAGTGGAGGAGATGCCACGCCCAGCGGAGATGAGAGCAACATCCACGATGTCTGCCTGCTCCTTCGATCCACGGGCTATACACATCCCTCGGAGGCAACAAAAGCTCTCAGTTTGGGTGGCAAACAGGCAGCGGCTGCAGCTGCCAGCCTGGTAGTTCCCAGATATCCGGAGGCCTACTTCTCGCGTTTCCGTTTCGATGAGAACTTTGTGGATCTGGTGGTGGCCCGTCTCCGGTGCGATGATATATACAACCAGCTGACCCTGTACCCACATCCTGCTCACCGATCCACGGCCTTGTCCACTCAAGCTGCCATGTTGTATGTGTGTTTGTACTTCTGTCCAAAAGTTCTCCACTCCCAAGGCTCCCAGATGCGTGAGATTGTGGACAAGTTCTTCTGCGACAACTGGACTATATCCCTGTACATGGGCATCACTGTGAATCTGGTGGATGCCTGGCAGGATTTCAAAGCTGCTCGATCTGCAATTGAAAATGTGATAAATCCGACTGCGATAAAACCTCTGTGTCAGCAGCAAAAGGAGCAGTTGGGCAAGATTCTGCAAAAGACCCAGGAGATCGTTCGCGAGGGCGTACTGAGCGATGACTTTGTCTTGGAGCATGCCAACAAGATCATACTGATGATGCGGCAGTCGAATGTCCTGCTCCGCTGGTTTTGCCTTCACACCTCAAAGGAGGTGTTCGTCTTCACTCACACAGCCACTCAACCGGGACAAGTTCATCAAAAGGTGCTCCTGGAACTTCAGTTCGATCGGAATACGTTATACCAACTGCTGCTCAACTGCAGCCAAATGGAACTGAGTGTAAGAGAGTTCCTGACGGAGATTCAGCAGACCAGAGAAGAGCGTTGGACGAAGAGCAGGGAGGAGGCCATGCAGAGACTGAAGGAGTTGAGTGAAGCCTTTGCCGGCTCCAGACCTTTGACCAAGATCGAGCAGAATCCCCAGTTGCAGCAGTGGTTTGGCGAAGTGGCAGGACGTCTTCAGAAACTGGAGTTGAGCAGGCCCCAAAAGTCGGGAAGGCTGATCATCCAGGTGATGCAGGCTTTGGACGAGGTGCAGGAGTATCACAATCTGCATTCCAACATGCTGGTTAAGCAACAGCTGCAGGAGACACGGGACATGCTCAATCGGATGGCGCAGGTAAGATCAATTGACATAATTTCAGTGATATAAAACCACTTAAACTATTCCCAGTTAATCAACCTGAAAGAAGATATCGAAATCCACATCCAGATGATCACCGATTTCAGCTACGCCTGGCACCTTCTGCAGCGCGATTTCACGCCCCTCATGCAGGAGCATATCAAGCGACAGCCGCAGGCGGTTATCGGTATCCGGGCGGTGTTCCTCAAGCTGGCCAGCACCCTGGAGGTGCCGCTGATGCGGATCAATCAGGCCAGGAGCGAGGATCTGGCCTCCGTGTCAAACTACTACAGCACAGAGCTTGCCAACTTCCTGCGACGCGTTCTGCAAATCGTTCCAGAGACCATGTTTAGCATTCTGGCCAGGATCATCTATCTGCTGACAAACGTGATCAAGGAGTTTCCCACTCGAGTGGAAAAGGAGCGTCTCAAGGATTACGCCCAGTTTGAGGAGCGCGCCAAGGTGGCACAACTAACCAATTCCATTGCCGTTTTCACTAAAGGAATACTCATGATGAAAACGACTCTAGTGGGAGTTATCGAACTAGATCCCAAGCAACTACTGGAGGATGGGATACGCAAGGAGCTGGTGAATCACCTGGCCAATGCCTACAATCTGGGCCTGATTTTTACACCCGAGAAAGGCAAAACTCCTGTGCAGCTCCTCCAGCAGAAACTGCAAGCATTGGCCAAAACCATCGAAGGATATCGCAGATCCTTCGAATATATTGAAGACTATTTGAGGGTTCAGGGACTTCGTATTCTGCTAGAGGAATCCCAGCGCATCATCAACTACAACGTAGAGAAGGAGTGCAACAGCTTTCTGCGCAAAAAAATTCAGGAATTTCAATCGGAGCACCAAAGTCAGATCATTCCCATTCCCAACTTTCCACCGCTAGTGGGAGATCCTTCAAACAACTTTATTGGCCGCCTAGCTCACGAGATCCTGCGCTGCACGGATGCCAAAGCGACCATTTTTCTGGATCACAAGAGCACCTGGTATGAGAAGAAAGCTCCACACCAGGAAGTCCTCGCCGGTTCTGGATTCTTTGGAATACTACGAGAAGCTTTGGCTCCGGCAGGAATGGTGGGTCTGGAGCGCCTCTATGCGCATATGTTGGCGGATGAGTTGAAGCGCAACTTGGAAAGGCTCCAACGAAACCTCATTTCGGATCGCATGTGGGTGGACGCATTAGCCAGTCTAACTCGCGAACTGGAGGCGCGGGATTTTCCATCACCCGAGGTGGCCAAGCAGCCGTTGAAGTATTATCAAGCCTACACCCAACGATGGCTAAAGGTGTGGCCCACGCTCCTGGATTGGGTGCTATCCATCGGCCAGAAGCAGCTACTGCGCCGGGAGATCGCCGGAGAGCTAAGCTTTAGCAGCAAGTGTGATGCCAAACTGCTGGAAAACACGGCTGATACTCTAAACAAGTGAGTAAAATTGTAGTAATTTAATTTAAAGTTTACCATTTTATGTTGTTCACTGCAGGGCTCTTTTATTGGAACTCTCCTTGAGCAAGGATCTCTGCGATGAGCAGGGCGTTGCTATGCTTACCGAACTGCAGGAAACCCTCCTCTATACGGGCAACTTTGAGCCCCTGGAGCAGGTCTTCCTCGTCACCAAGAACACTCACAACATGTCGCTGTTTATGTTTCTCTTCACCATCGCCCATTTGGGTCGCCTGCAACACTCCACGAATACCGATTGTCTGTTGCCAAAAACAGCCAAAGATAACATCGATAATGTGCCTTTCATTGTGGGTCTACTAACGATTCTGCAACAGTACCACAAAAACGTCAAGATGTTGTACATATCCTACATGAGTCAGTATGTGGTGACGGTATCGGAGGGTCAGTTATTGTGAGTGTGCTTTTTACGTGATCTCATGAACTCCTACAGAAAGTATATGTAATCTTTTTTTAGGGACAAGGAAGTGCTGGGTCCCGAAGTGGTCACCACCCTCCACTTCCTGCTAGCTTTCATACGCATTGCTCGTCTGCCGCTGAGAGTACTGGAGCAGCGCATTCCCAACATGATACTCAGCGAGTACGAGTACCTATCCACACCACTCAAATGAGGACTGACCATCGGTTTGGGCTACACAAACTTTAATAAATCCGAAAACTTAACAAGGAAATGCCTCGCTGAGGTACAAGTGGAGATTATAGTTGGATGGGTTGGTAATCTCAGGTGATCCTTTCCAGGCAGGAACTCCTTACGTGATGACGGTGGGAGCATTGCGTCCGGTGAACTTGGGCAGCTGAGAGATCTCCAGGGCGATGTCGATCAAAGGTTTCAGCATCACGCTGGCCTGACCCAACACGTTCTCCCTCTCATAAGAATCAATGTACAAGCTGAAGAAGATTATTCATAGATTATTTCAAGCCATAATTTGGTTCAATCCCATTGTAACTCACCGCACGGTGGCTCCAGAGCTGCCAGTTCCACTGAGACGCACAACAATGCGACTGCCGTCCTCGAAGACGATGCGCAGACCCTGTTTCGTGGCCACCGACTTGTCGACCGGATCCGTGTAGCTGAAGTTGTCCGCCTCCTTGACCTTGTAGGTTTTTCCGCCGCTGGAGAAGCTCTTGCCGACAAATTCCGGGGCAGTGATGGTCGTCTCCATGGTGGAAACCATCTCGTTGCAAGGATCCGAGGCGCACTCCTCGTAATCGTAGCGGGTGAAGTAGTTGCGACCATACACGGACCAGTGCTGCTTCAGGATGTCCTCGATGCCCTTACCCGTGTGCTGCATCACGGAGATCCAGGCCAGAACCGCCCAGATGCCATCCTTCTCACGGATGTGATTGGATCCGGTGCCGAAGCTCTCCTCGCCGCACAGGCACAGTCTTCCGGCGTCCATGAGGTTGCCGAAGTACTTCCATCCAGTGGGCACCTCGAACACCTCCTTGCCCAACTTCCTGCCCACCAAATCCACAGCCGAAGCGGTTGGCATACTGCGGGCGAATCCCTGAACACCGTTCTTCTGGAAATATGGGATGGCCTCCAGGTAATGGGCAATCACCGCCAGCGAATCGCTGGGGGTCACGAAAAACGCCTTGCTGCCGATGATCATGTTGCGGTCACCATCTCCATCGAAGGCGGCTCCGATGTCATAGTCTCCCTGGGCTACAGTGTCCACCAGATCCTTGGCGTAGGTCAGATTCGGGTCAGGATGCAGGCCACCGAAGTCCGGCAGCGGAGTAGTGTGGACCACCGAGGATTCAGTTGCCCCCAGGCGATTCAGGAAGATCTCGCGCACATAGGAGCCAGTGACTCCGTTCATCGCATCAATGCGCATCTTCAGGGGCTTTCCAGTGGCCTTGCCGCTCACAAAATCCTTCAGCTTGGCAAAGTCGAAGATCTCCTCCATGTGACGCACATAGTTGGCCACCGAATCGATCACCTCCACGGTGAAGGGCTTTCCGGCGATGTCGAAGGAAGTCACGCCCACCTTGGAGACGTCGATCTGCAGATTGCGGACCAGCTTGTACTCCTTGATCTCGGTGGTGATCTTGTAGATGTGGTTGGTGAAGGCGTCGGGAGCGGGTCCTCCGTTCTCACAGTTGAACTTGATGCCGAAATCATTCTCGGGGCCGCCGGGATTATGGGAAGCGGTCAGAACGATGCCACCTAAAGGATAAGGTAAAACATAAATATAAATAAATAATCACAAAAGCTTTATATAATAATGGTTATAGAAATACTTTATAGATTATGAATATAATATAACACATAAATATAATATATATATTATATAAATATATATATAAAATTAGCTATAACTTATTTATTTGAACATTTTTTTATACTTTGTGCTTGGAAATTGTTAAAAATAAATCGTATAGTCTTTTTAGAAACATAAAGGATAAATTGAAATTCCTTCCTTGCCTGAAATCCTAGAAATCCCATAACCGATTCAAACTTTTTGGCCCGAAATAATGAAGTCACTGTTAACCGGTTGAATGTGTAGTTGATAATCGACCCCAGGGACCTCTGTCACTTAACAGCCCGTTGATTGTGTAAAGATGCTTCTTATCATTTAAAATCTTTACGAGCACAGTGTAACCTGCCCTGGACGGAAACTCACCCAAGGCCTTGTTGTGACGGATCAGGCTGGAAACGGCGGGGGTGGACAGGATGCCATTCTGACCCACCAGCAGTTTGGAGACTCCGTTGGCGGCGGATAAACGAACAATCAGCTCGGCAGCCTCTTTGCAGTAGAAACGACCATCGCCACCGACCACCAGAGTGGATCCCACCAGAGCAGCTCCATTGGCCTCCAAAATGGCCTGGACAAAGTTTTCCGTATAGTTCGGCTGGGTGAAAACTTTTACCTGTGATTGGAAAACAGATTTCACAAGTTAGGAGATGCAATTGGGGGTTTTGAATTTTTTTCAGACCCCACCTTTTTGCGCAATCCACTGGTGCCTGGCTTTTGACCCTCGTAGGGCTTTGTGGCTACAGTTTCCACCGATAGCGACATGTCTCACTGGAGTTTTCCGGCTGCTGGCTGAATTCCAACTGGACGAATGAACCGCGTTTGCGTGCGATGAAAATTGAGTGTCAGGCACAGTACAGCGAAATTCGCCTCCCACTGATAAGCCAACGCGGTTCGGCCATAACGATCCCGATAAGCGCTATCATCGATGCGTGCCACCAGTCAGACATAATTTTCAATTGGGGGTGTATCTTTAAAAACCTTAAGAACCCGAAAATTTAGTTATCTTTGTTTATATACCTCGGGTTTTCCTTTTTCATCATGATATATAGCAATTTAATCATCATGATTGGACAAACTCATATGCCGAAAAGCTTGCTGTAGGGTGCAATGTCATTCAAGGGCATTCCCAGGTACCGGTAAACAGCTGTTTTATAGGAAATGTATGTCATGTATTCAACTAGAGCCTCATAAAAACATGAATATTGAAAAGAAGTGTCTAACTAAACTTCAACTAAAGTCATAAAAACATAAAAACAAAATAATTTGTTTTGTTTACTTTTTGTCGCTTTTTGAACAACAGCTGCTGTTTGCTAACAGCGGGTTAACAGAAACAACGCGGCAGGGTTGTCGAAGCTTCACCTCTTGGATTGCTTGTGGTGCAGCGAATATATCTAATGTTTCATAACGTTACTTTCCTTATGTGCGATTAAACACTATCACAAAACGGGGGACTTCTAAGTTACACTATTATATGCAAAAATGTTTTTTAACATTTTTCGAAGTTTGACGTGTTCTTAAAGCTGCATGAATACACACAAAATAACACATAAGAAAGCGTGTGATAGTTTTAGAAATCTTAATTATGGTTTATATATTTTTATTATAGTGAACTTACTATAATATGGTAACAATTTAAAAAGTACAGGTAATTTTTAAAAACTAACGAATAAAATACCAAGTTGTGAAGTCCAATATATCGAAACCGGGCCGATATATCGATAGTTCAAAGCACCTCTGACAGCCCTGACGCAAAACACGAAGTTTGACAGCGGATCCATTCCACGTCACGAACCAACGAGAAAGCGGCCGCCTGCTACGACTGCTGTTTAGTTGCACTGAAATACTCGCAAAAGAAATAACCAACATCCAAGTAAGTTGTTAAATAATGAATTAAAACCTTGAGGCAAATGTGCAATAAGTTCGTCCACCACCATTGTGTTGAAGTTTGAGAGGAAATCGATCCGAAAATGCTCGCTCTTTTATGCTGTCCATTTTGCGGCGACCCTTCCACGTCAACAAAAAAGTGAAACGTGAAATTCTAATTTTCAATGATATGTAATTACAGAATGTTCAAGCACCTGCTGGCCCTGTGCGCTCTTTGCGCGGTATTTAGCACCTGCCTGTCGGAGGACGAGACCCGTGCCCGTCTCCTGGTCTCCAAGCAGATCCTGAACAAATATCTGGTGGAGAAGAGCGACCTGTTGGTGCGCTACACCATCTTCAACGTGGGCAGTGGAGCCGCCACCAAGGTGCGATTGGTAGACTCCGGCTTCCACCCGGAGGCCTTCGACGTGGTGGGAGGACAACCCACCGCCGTCGTCGACAGGATCGCTCCCCAGACCAACTTCACCCACGTCCTGGTGGTGAGGCCCAAGGCCTTCGGTTACTTCAACTTCACCGCCGCCGAGGTGTCCTACAAGGCTGTCGAGGAGTCGGAGACGGTAAGTTATACCTGGGCAGACGGCAAACCGAAATGTGTTTCAGGCTGAACCTTATCTAATTTTGTTGTTGAATTTTGTCATTCAAAGCTAAGTAAAATCTTATTTTTTCAATCATATACCTTCTTCTTAGAGCGTTAAAGTTAGTGTCTTTAAGTTACTTAAAACAATAATGTTGCTATTCAATCAATTAAGATTTTTGTAACACCTTGAGGTTTGAAAGATCAATAGTTCTAAAACGTTTTAGGTTATTATCTCTATAAAACCCCATGATATGAAAATAATTTGACCAAATTTCAAACATTCTTGCAGCTCCAACTGGCGGTCAGCTCGGAGCCCGGTGAGGGTGGCATTGTCAACCTGAACGAGTACAACAAGCGCTTCTCCTCCCACTTCTTCGACTGGGTGGCCTTCGCCGTGATGACCCTGCCCTCCCTGGCCATTCCTTTGGGTCTGTGGCACCAGTCCAAGAGCAAATACGAGCGCTCCGGCAAGAACAAGAAGCACTAAGCAGCTGCCCAACGGTTTCCTCCTCACCTCAAGAGATTTCTTTACGAACACCCATTACAAATTCCGTATAATTTTGTTGCTTTAGTTTCCAATTGATTCCATGCGTTGTTCATCCATTCAACCCACACATCTAGTTTACTCCAGTCTGGGACTGTCGTCTGGAGACGGAGCGTTAAATCGTTTTAGATTTGATACGAGGACGCATCGAGTAAAGAGAATTAAACAAGTCCATAAAGAGTTAAGCTTAGACTGCTTTTCTAAATAAATTAAAACAAATGTAAACTGGATAATTACTAAATGCGTTCGGAGTTGGGAAATGGGTGTCACATTTTCGTTTTGCTTATAATTAGCAATTAAATGTTAATAGCCATAGTTTTTGATTCAAGGGATTGTTTTTGAATACACATTTGTTTTATACCATAATTCAATCAGAGTCAAAATGCTGCTTTTCTGGGTTAAATACATCAAGATTATATTACAACGTTACTTAATATGTAAAGATCTTAACAAACTTAGGATAACAGATACTTTCGGCCAAAGATCTCCGACTTCTTCTCAAACATGGGGGATTTGATGGGTGTGTTGATCCGATAAAAAGCATTCATGGAGTGCTTAATGTACGTGTCATACATTTCGTTAAAGAAGTTTTTGATGCCTTCGTCGTTTTTGTTGTCATGAACGATGATAAATCTTATTTGGCTGGCGGTTATAAAGGCGGAAACGAACCATTGGTTGAACCTATCAATGGATTTAAGTTGCATATTAGCCGTTTTCCATTTGTGCTCGTCCACCAAATCCAGGGCGGCATGGGCAATAAACTGGCTCAGGTGCCTGTGGTCCTCTTTCTGCGGGTTAAAAAATGTGTTAGCAACTTCTATATAATGTACACTACGTCCACGAACCCTTAGTTCCTTGTTCACCGTGCTAAATTCCTTCTCGTAGATGGGATTATCGTTATGACCCACAATAACAAAGTAGTAGGTGGACATTTTCACGAAGGCAATACCAAAACAGTCTAATTTAAGGTGTGACCGAAAACGGATACTGAAAAATACCGTTTAAAATTTTATAAATATACTACTCTACTGTAGCGGCTATAAAAATAGTGTCAGGTAATTTAACTTAATTTAATAAACAATAACAACATTTTTTTAACTTCATGCAAATCTTCTAAATAATTATTTTCTTTGAACGTCTTGTATGTTTACTTGCTTAGAACAGGAAGCCATATGTTAACCTATTTGTATGATTATTGTGTTAATTCCTGCAAAATAATTTGTTCAAAATAGTTTAATAACTAGAGAAACTAAGGGTTTTAGAAAATACTAAAATATCAAAGCCTGACCAAGCAGTATTGGAAAATACCACCACCTCCCAACCTTTCCCAACACCGCTTGTTCGCGCCTTTTTTCCCCAGCACATTTTGCGACCAAATTTTTACGCCGGAAAACTCGGATAAAATGGTTTTAAACGCCTGAATTGCAAACTGGAAAGTTGGAATCCATTGGGGCCGCAGTCCCGTTAGCCAGAGGAGCGTGACCAACGCGACAAAATCGCGATCGCGGCAGTGTGTGTGCGTGTGCGGGAGTGTAACAAATACGACAAAACGAAAATCGCTGCGAAGGTAGATCTCATTATTATTGTATTGTTGTCTTTTGCTTTTCGCCCCCGATCTTCTGTTGCGATCTTATGAGTTTGGCTTCCGTATAATCTGTAGTTGTATCAACCGCTTAAGTACTTAGATTTCACAAAAGAAAACTACACCATACACACACACACGCACACACTCAGCAATATGCATTGAAACAAAAAACAAAATTAAACCAGAAGAAGAGATCCAAGAAAATGACCGATGTAAAAAATTGTCTTACAAGTGAGCACATTGCAACTACAGCACCAGCGAGTCCACCGGGAACTCCAACCAGAAATGCTAACAAGGATCTCGTGGAGCCCACATCCCCATTCGTCTTGAGAGCACCGCCCAGCGCCAAATCCAAACTGATCCTCCAGAACATGGAGGAGGTGCTCCACTCGGTAAAGCAGAAGCACCGGGAGAAGCACAAGCGGAAGAGGGAGGAGAAGCGACGGGCAGCCCTCCTGGAGGACCAGAAGAAGCCCTCCAAGGAGGCCAAGCCGGACAAGGAGAAGCCACAGCCACTGCGAGAGAAATCCTCCCAAGAAAATGGCCTCAAGAACGGAGGACGCCGGCGTTCCAGTCCGCTGAAATCCAGCACTCCGGTGGCCGAGAACCAGAGCATCCTGAAGCACTTCGCCAAGGCGGGCAAGCCGGAGAATGTGGCTGCATCTCCGGGGTCCATCGCCAAACCCAAGCCAGCCACCAATGTCTTTGAGTTCATGATGAATGCCAGGAATCGGTCTATAGGGGCCAACGATGGTGGCGCCGAATCCCCTGGAGATCAAGAGGCGGCTACTGAGGCAGCCACGCCAACGACCAAGCGGAAACAGTTCCTCCAGGAATGGAACGAACGCAAGGGTGGAGCCAAGAGAAGACTGGCGGACGAGTCCCGCGGGGAGTTCATCGAACTGCAGATGGAGCAAAGGGCTAAGAGGTGAGTAAAGAATTTTAAGGGGAACTTCCCCTAAAATCAAGCATAAAAATGTATTATTTGTACTTTTACTAACAAAGACTTAGAACGGCTAGTAATATTATATTTTTTTTAGATTGAGGAAGATGCTGACCAAGACTGAGCAAAAGGAGGTAACGGCTCCATCCTCAGCGCCCACCGAGCCAACAGTCAAGCGTCTAAGAGGTAGGGCGCGATCTCGACGCCTCAGTTCCGTGGATGCGCCGGTCAGCGTGGAAGCCAAGCCGCAAGATCCCGAAACCGAGGAGTTCCTATCGAAGCTTTCTTCGCCAACAAAAAAACGTGACAGCCTGCTGGGCTACTTTGCCAAGGTGGAATCGCCCAAAGAGGTGGCCGAAAAGCTAACCATTGCAATAGAAACTCCTCCCATGGAGACGCCCAAGCGAAGAACACAACGCAGGAAGAGCCAGCAGGAGACACCCATTATAGAAACAGGTTCGACGCCATCGTCAAGACCGCGACGCTCGTGTGCGGGAAAGGCGCGCTACGATTATGACCTGGAAACGAGTCCTGTTAAGCCACAAAAGGCCAAGGCCCAAAAGCCAGATGAATCCATAGAGATTATTGATCTGGACAGCAGTAATCCAGCAACCACGCCAAAGAAACTAGCGCCGCTATTTGTACGTCAGTTGCCAAAGCCCAGTCCGGATCCTTCGGTTCTGAAAGCTCGTCAGGCTTTTCTGCAATCTGGAGTGCCAGATAAAATTCGTCAGGAGCAGAGCCGTCAAAAGACCTACGAGCAGTTGTACGAGGAGAGCTATGAGGTGTTTCCCAGAGTGGCGCACATAGGTTGTGAAGGCTTCGCATCTAAACATGTTCCCCTGGAGCTACCCTTTGCTTTGAGGGCAGAAGAGGAATATGTGGAGGTTACGACAACCTTAGCTCCCAGTAAACGGCGTTCCAAGACGAGTGGCATGACCAGTTGCCTGCCTGCGGACTTTACAGCCAATAAAATTAGTAACAAATTCAACTACGCTACTTTACCGCAGCTGGAGAACAAGCGAGGTTTTGTAAAGCTCTGGAAAAACGACTTTGATCGCTTTCCCACCTTCAAGTGCTATAATCAAATGAGGGAAAAGTATCGCCACTTTAGCGCCATTGACAGTGCGCAGGATACGCAGCAAATGGGTGAATCCTTGGTGGTTACCCGGCGCACCCGACGTTCTATGGAGCAGCCTTTGGCGCAGAACGATGAGGAGGCGAAGCCACCATCTTCGGCTCCCAATGGCGAGCTACTCTTCACCGAAAAGTACAAACCGCTGCTGTTCGAGCAGGTTCTAGTGAATCTAACGCCAGTGCAGGAGCTCAGGGAGTTTTTGTCCAGCTGGAGTGGCAATGGTGGCAGCAATCGCAACTCGCAGGGCATGGACGACACCTTCGATATGAGCAACGATTCGGCCTCGATGGGATCAGCTAGCAACACAATGGTGCTCGTGGGACCATCATCCAGTGGAAAAACCAATGCAGTTTTTACGTTAGCAAACGACATGAACTTCAATGTCTTGGAGATCAATGCAGGCATGAAGCGAACGGGCAAGAAGTTAATCCAGGAACTCCAAGAGGCCACACAGTCGCATCAGATAAGGAAAGACAGCAAAGCGGGCGGCGGATCCTCACAGCAGCTGCTCCAAAAATTGCAAAAAAGTGGCTTCAAGGCGAAAGCAGCCGCCCTAGAACCTCCATCCGAAGTCCGCAAATCCCTAATTCTAATAGAAGATGCCGATATCCTTTTCGAGAACATGGATGCTGGTTTTACCGATGCCATTTACACGCTGGCCGCCAGTTCAAAGAGGCCGGTAATTGTGGTGGCCACGGATCCAAACTGCGCGCATCTGCAGCGTCTGATGCAGCAGAACAGCATCCATTTCCAGGCCCCGAATGCGTTGAACATCTCCCGATTCCTCGCTGTTCTATCGCTCATGGAAAACTGCCCCATCGAACTGGACGAGTTGATATCACTGTATCTGTACAATCAGCAGAATCTGCGCAAGACGTTGATGGAACTGCAATTCTACATTCAAAGTGGTGGAGATCCAAGTGGGAGTAGACCGGCTGGCATCAAATCGCCCACAAAATCCTCAAATAGCCGGCTGGCCACAGTCGATGGCAGTCGCATCCATCAGCGACTTTTTGAGTTCTTCACAAGCCCGCAAAATGTACAGCATCGAATACCCTTTCCCGTGAACTTTAGACTACTGCGTTTGAATCTCACCGAGCTAATTTCCAATTCTCCGCTGCTGAAGGAGCAGCAGCCACCAGGTGGAGGAAGTAGAAACGCTGCCAAGCGAAAGTCCCGCTCACCAAAGAAAGCCTGGCTGAGCAGCGCCACTGGACAGAAGAACGATGGCCATAGTTCACCTCTAGCCAAGCTGGCCTCCTTCTACGACAACATGTCGGTGGCTGCTCTGATGGACTCCGATTGCAGCGATCGCTTGCAGTGGCACCAGTCCGAGGACATCGCGCACCTGCTGGTGGAGCAGGCTCTCCAAACTGGACTTGCGGCCAAGGCGTGTCCCTACAACCTGTTCGACAAGCAGACTCAGAGGTAATTTGCCTAAATAAATTTCATAATTAATTAGTCATTTTGTTTGATAAAAGGATCAATAGATGGTATTTTCATTCTAACGTTTTCCATTCATGATTCACAAAAAAATTACTCGATTAAACAATCCTTTAAAATGTATATAATATTTGTTTATTTTAAATTTTTTATTTAAAGGAAATACAAATTAATATTTGTAGGTTCATAACCATCTTGTTCTCTATCGATTAAAGATTTCGGTTATAAAAGTCATCACAAATTTGAAAATGCTTGGTCATTTAGTAAGTGATAGGAGTAATCGATTAAAAAAGAAATTTTGTGGTTTTCTATCGTCCAACAGTCTTAACAACGACTTGTCCAAGATAAGTCACTATTCAAAAGATAAGTTTAGCATATTGCAGTTAGCAATGTCATAAAAATGGCCGATTGTACAATCAATCATATCTTTAATATCTTAAGTGCTTCATACTTTAATCAAATACTATTTTAGTAAACAAGTTTAATAACTTTAAAGAGCTTTTACAATTTTCTTATAAATCCTATGCTCTATTAAGCAAAGCAGTTTGAAGGTTTTCTCTTACAAATTAATCTTGAATATTTAATAATTTCGTCTTAATGTTCTAGGTCAACCATTTGCGAGCACCTGGGCAATGCACTTATACGTTCCACCTCTGCCAAATCACTGGACTTTGAGCCCACGCTGCGTTCCATATGCCGCAGTGAGAAGGAGCGGGCTGGACAGGAACGGAAGTCGAGTAGATTCTATCACTATCTGCGCAACTACACGGTGAACGTGACCAATTTCGCGATGGAGCATTTCGATGCGGCGTGCACTGCGTTCCAGGACAATCCCAGCAGTGATGCACACGCGGAGGCCGAGCAAAGGGATTAACTGTCGGTCGGACTTAGTTTAATTATTTGAATTTGGTGGAGCTGCTCCATCGAATTTGTTTGCAATTTATTCAGATCGAGGTAAGCAGAGTTGATCTTTTTAGGATAGTTTTGTGTGGACAACGATGATGCGTAGCTATACATGAGATGAGTCTAGATCTAGATACAAGTAATTTACACTAAACTAAATACGACCTGAGCCTATGTTAATAAATCAATTAAATGACATGTAAACCGATGACTAGCAGCAGCAGAAACCGGAAGAGCTCTTCTTCGCGGGCTCCGGATCTCCGGTTATTGTGTTTTCCGTTGGCTTCGATGCAGCAAGGGACGTGGGCTGGATTTGAATGGGCGCCGCTGAATTTATTTCTCCGATTTTAAAGTTCTTCAGATCCTTTTCGGCATCGGAGGAGTGTCCAGCCTGCTTGAAGGCCTTGCTGGCATCCTTGCCGCCGTATTCGAGGAGTGCTTCGCCACCGCCAGGATGCTCGCTCAGGAACTTGGTCACGTCGTATACGTTTCCCTTGATGATCAGCCAGCAGGGTTTGCCATTCTTGCCATTCTGCTGGGCCACCTCGGAAACTTCGTACAACTGGGACATAATTGGATGGATTGTTGATTGCTTGATTGCTTTCCGGTGTAGACAAGTGTTTTGTTTTAATGGCTGCTGTAAATTTTGCCAATGTGGTAAGATAAGGTCTCCTCTTGACTTGCTAATTTTAGGAGCTGTTAACCGTTGGACGGACTTGCTGGCACTGGACGCGTGCCAATGGCAAACCGTTGCTTATGTTTAACATTTATCAATATTGGAAAATATCGCTTAGATCGCTTGTACTTGCCCTGTTTTTCCACCCTGTTCATCCCCTCGACGGTCAATTACTATTTGCTGTTTTATTTCCACAATCTGTCTGACTTGTGGCTGATAAGGAGTACGTGAGAATTTTACCGTCTTCCAAGGAGACCTACTAAACTAGGTGGTGGCCATTAACTTTACGTGGATTTGTGCAACTCGTTAATGCAAATTGATTGAGCATGTTGGCATGGAGTGGGGTTCTATCTATGTGCGAAATCTAAAAACAATTTGTGATTCACTTCAGTTTGGTCACTTGTCATTGGTTTCTGGGTAGGTGATAAAAATTTATGGTGGATTCTTACACTGTGTCACTTTCGTACGTTAACTCTTTTGATAACAATTAAAGACGGCATGATGCAGTCAAACTTCAACTTAGATAAGGTTTTTAGAGTCAATCAAGGGCAAAACAAACTCCCCCTTAGTTACCAAATCTCCCTCTTTAAAGAAAAAACGATTTGTTGATATTTTTGGCTTTCAAAGTTATATTCTATATATTTTGGAAATATATTTTAAATTTGCTTTCGTTTTCTCCATTTTTGTTTTCGGTTTTAATGGTTTTTGATTTTTTTTTTTTATATGAGACAACAACAATAATTGGTATTCATTTAATATATATGTATTTAGATATATATCGATTTTTATATAGATTTATGTATCTTAGACGTTTTGCTTAATGCGCTTTAAAAAAATTTCGCTAGTGTTGAGTGCAAATTTTCCTGCGGGGGATCGAAAATCAAAATCGATTTCTTGGGGATTGGGAGATTTTGTTGACGGATGGGTTGGAAAACTTTGGAATTGTTGGGATTAAGTGTGTTTACATTAACATAATGCTCCACTGCGCATTTTCCTGCTTTCGGCTTATTTACAAATTAATGTTTTTTTTTTGTTTCTTCTTTATTTATTTAGGTTTTGTTATAAATATCAGTCGACGGTTTTGCATTTTCAAAACGCAGCTCGTGTGCGTTTTCATTTGTATTCTCGATTTAAATGTACAGATACCATATCGTAATATATATCGTATATATAAAGTGTAAAATTAATTACTTGTCAATGATTGTTGATTTCTTGTTGAATTAATCGATCTGCTTGAATTTTAAAAAATTGTAATTCAATCAATTGATTTACTATAATTAAATCGTTTTGTTTTTCATTTAATTTACTTAGTTTCCGTTTAGTTTTTTCTAAACATAATTCGTAGACTTGATCTTCGTTTAGAATTTAATTGTTTAATTTAAAAAACAGTTTTGGAGGTAGTTGAAATTAGGCCTGTTTACGTAAATTATATTTATGTATGTATATAATTATTTGTATAAATGTGTATATGTGTAGATGATTCAACGATCAAACGAACCCGATCGCTTCAATATTTTAGCTGGACTTAATTTGTTTATAACTAATTAATTTATTAATTTCTACGTGTTTAATTTAGTTATTCATTGTCTCCGGTTTTTTCTTCGGTCTTGTGATATCTCGGGCTATTTCCGGTTGCTTTACTTGAAGTATTCTTTGATCCATAGACATCGAACTATATCGTTATGAATTTAATTTTTAAAATGTAGGCTTGTAGGACTTGTTGGCATAGTAAAGTGTTTTCCATTATGTTGCATTTGTTATCATATTTTCCTAGTTTTTCGCATCTAAATTGCTGGTTAAATGTGGTTTAAATTTGATTTAATGGATCGTAAGTTCTTGAAACCATTTTTTGTTTTTTTTTTCTCTTTGATAATTAAAATTGTAATTGTCAGGGGCAACTATTCTGTGGGTTTTGGGTTTTTTTGGAAATTACACTTTTAAGAATTCTGGGAATATTTTTGCAAAAAAATGTTCACAAAACTATAAATGTGGAGAGCTAATAATAATTATATTTACCAAAATGTTCTAAATTAATTACTTGTGCTTATAATTTACATTGCAGTGGGGTTAATCGTTTAATTTGTCCTAAACTAAACACACAAAAAATGCTATTCTTTTGAAAAAACCGGCACGATCGGTCTGTGCTGCCAGACTTGTCAACGATCGACCAGAGTTGCAAATTAATATTGCGGATCGACCAGAGCTGCCATGTTTAATTTTTTATCGATAACGATTAAAGTAACGATCGATTGAGTTTCAATATTTCACATTTCAAATTTAAATCCCGCTGAAATTCCAAATTGAGACTTAGCATCAGCCAAATAAAAATGAAAACAATAATTTTTCTACAATTTGGTTTACATAGATTTCATTTCATTTTTTGTTTTTTTTTTTTTTACATTGTAATTCCGTTAGCAAATATACAAATACAAATTTCAATTGAACTAAAAATTGTTTGTGTGTGTTTTTCGTGTGTTCCAGCACATGGGCCTTGCGTACAATAATAATAGGGGATTGGGGATATGGATAGGGGGTAGGGATAGAGTATAGTTAAGAGTTGGTTGGCTTCGATTTAAAACTAGAGTTATTCAAACTAAAGTGTATACAATATTCATTCATAAAATTACAATTATATATTCACTTATATTTTGTTATTTACTTTCCTCTTTCCCTTCTTCAAGGTTTGTGGTATTGTGTCTGTCTCTTTCAAGTCAGTAGCTTTCTTTAAATTTACAAAAAATGTACGTTTCATTACGTTTAGCAAGCGATGAATGGAAATGATGTTACAGAACTAAAAAAACCTTTTATGGTCTGTGGTGAGTGCTTAAAAGGCGGCAGCGCAGCTATATGTCTTCTCCATTTCTCATTCTCTAACTTTCCTTCTCTCTTGTTACTCAAATTTACAAATTAAATTCTGACTAATAAACAGTCTTTTCGTACCAGCGCAAAAGTTGGCGACAGACCTACATTAAATAAATCTGTTAAACTTTAACATAATAGATAAACATAGGCTAACATAAAAAAAATATATGTGTATATATATGCAGATATATATATATATATAAATATATATATATTGAGGTGCCGCAAAAATCTCTGGAGATTCCATAACAATGGTTGGAAATCTTTTAAAAGTATGTCACTTGCTCTGGCATTGGATTAAAATGAAATGGAAGTTCAATGGGCAAGACAAAGTTACAAATTAATTGTGAAACATTTAATTAAGAAACCAAAGACGACGTTCATTATTTTTCATCTTAAGATTGGTATAAAAGAAATCAAAGGAAAACGTTTAAAAATCTTTTTCTAATGATATCATTCTAGATACCCTTTTAATTAAAACTTTTCTAATTATCCTGGAACCTACTCTTTCCTAAACTTCAAATGGTGAAGAGCAAATCATTTAGTATTTTATGTTATAGCAGAGCAAGTGAACACTTGAAACATAACTTGTTGTTGTAAAATCTCCAGTGGTTTCTGCACCACCGCCGATCTTTAATGTAGTTAAACTTAACACGAGCTCAGTTATGAGTTGGCCGCACAGTGGCTGCAATTCCGGCTATTGCAGCTGCAGTGGCAGCTCATCATGCTAGAGTTGGAATTATTGCGGCTCATCGTGGTCAGCGGGAGATCCCGATCCCCCCGTCGCTCCGGCGGCAAAGGAAGACGAAGACTGAGTGGTGGCTGTTGCTGTTGCTGTATCGACGGCTTGTAGGCTGACGGAACTGGTGCTACTCCCGCTGCTGCTGCTCCTCAGCGGCTGCAGGCCAGCTCCGATTGGCACGGAGACGGACAGCGGCGGTGTGGGTATCCGTTCGGGGCTACAATTGCCGCTCGTTCCTGTTCCCAGGCTGGTCAGCAGTTGCGTCCCGCTGGGGTTTGTCCCATAGCCGCAGGCCGTGCTCTTCAGCAGCGATGCATTGGACACCGGCAGCGTGGGCAGCGGGGCAGCGGCCAGCGAAGAGGCCGACGACGAGGTGGACACACCGGCGGAGGAGGCTAGCGAAGAGGCAGACGACGACATGGACACGGACGATGGTGGGGATGGAACGGCCACCGAGGACATCGTACAGCTCTGCGGCGGCGACTTGGGCGAACTGATCCGTGAGAAGAACTTGGTTATGGCATTCGGCTTAGACTTGCTGGACGATGAGGAGGCGGACACTGACACGCCCGCGGGCGTGTACGTGGAGGAGGCGGCCTGGAGCGTGGTGAGACGGTAGCTGGAGCTTGAGACGCCGCAGCCGCCCGCCGAGATCTGCTCGGGCACATCCCGCACCGTCTTGTTGGGCGGCGGCTTAGTGTACGATCTAGTGATCTCCGATTGCTGCGAGGGATGGGAGTTATTAGTATATGACATTAAGGAGTTGAGGTCCTGAGGAGACCCACCTGATAGCTGCTCCTGATCTGCAGGTGTCGATCCTGTCCGTACTCGCTGTCCGGCAGTGGTACGTGATGGGGACAGCGGGGCGTCTGCTGCTGCTGCAGCTGGTACTGGTAATGTTGGTGGTGGTCGTTGCTGTGGCTCTGCAGCGAGCTGCACGAGGATCCGGATGAGGAGTTGCCGCAGTCGCCCTTGTAGCAACCACTCCCGCTCCCGCTCCCGCTGCCCGTGTTCCCGTACTTGAGGGTGGTGGCTTCAATGCCGCCTCTCGCCACATTACTGCTAATACTATTGTTGTTGTTGCTGCTGCTGCTGCTCAGATGGTGGTGGTGGTCACCGCCTCCTCCTCCGCCGGAGTTGTGCGTGCTTGGAGTTGTCATGCGTTGTTGCTGGTGGTGGGAATGTTGTTGCTTGTTGCTGCTGCTGATGCTGCTGTGATGGAGATGGTGTTGCTGCTGAAGTTGCTGGTGCTGATTGTTGCCGGCGCCACGAATCACAGTCTCGCCACGTACAGCCAGAAGCTCACGTGCCTGGAGCGCATCCACGCGCATTCTACATCTAAATTGATCCCTAAAATGCAAGAGAACACAAGTAAGTATATGTTTTTATAGATGTTTTGCGAGGTTAAAAAGCAGATTTGGGTAAAAGCATATCTAAAATTGTACAGCAACATATAAAATTATCAAAATTTCTATTGATTAATATATTTTTACTACAAAGAGATAACTATTCTCTAAATTCTATAAGCAAAAAATGTCTGTTATAATGTTTTCTGCGAGATATGTATACAATTTGTAACTATAGAACATATATAACTGCATTTAAGCCAGAGAGCAGAGTATAAGCATGAATTTTAACTACAAAGATACAACATTACTTTACATTTTATAGCCAAAAAGTGAATATTTTTATATTGACTGCTGGATGAGTCTAACTGAAACTATATCAGAGACCTGGATTAACATGAATTTTTATCTACTAAGATACAACATTACTATTTCTAAAGTTAAAATTAAATTTAAAATTAAACAGCCTTTTAAACTGATTTTAGTCCCTTCAATCAGAGACCTTGACTTACCTATCATCGGGTGGTGTGCTCAAAGATGTGCGGGTCGGAACGCCGAGCCGCTCCATTCCCGCGCAGCCGGCCGTCTGTACCGATAGCATCTGCAATGAAAAGATGGAAAATCAGTATTAGTAATAAAGTCAATTTAAAAGGCTACGATTTTATAGTCTAAGACAACACCTAAAAATCATGGCCACCATTCTCCCCCTGCTCATCCTGACAGCTCTCCACCTCACTGAATGTCTGAAAGTGCTCCAACATGAGCCATCTCTTGGCCACCCGACGAGTGCACAAGCCACAATGGTCATCGTATTCGAGACCCTCGTAGAACTCAATACGTATTTCCATTTCCTTAAAGTTATTCGGTTTCAGCGGCTTGAATTTCAGGTTACCCGTGTAGTGGAGGTTACTGCGCATTATAAACGGCTGTTCGACAAAAAGTACGGTTTGCAACCAAAGCGATTTGTAAGGCAGCCTAAGGCACGGATTGCAGCTCATCTTGAGCGGCGTATGTGAACTGCTGAATTCCACATCGAAGAATAGGAGAAAGCACTCCAGATAGCCCTCTCTATTGACCTTCAATCTTATTTGCCGATCTATGAAAAGATCCTCTTTCTTGGCCTTTTTCAAATCAATGCTTAAGATGCGATGAGCCAGGGTCAATAGCTTTTCTCCGGTGGTTTTGGCATACCGCGGTTCGGCCAATGCATATCGACGCATGGCATTCATGTTGAAGCCGTAGACACTCCGCCACCAATTGCAGCGATCGTTCTTCAGCATGTGCTCCTCGGAGGCCACTAGAAAAAGCGAACCCAAATCGGGTAGGATGAATCCGCCCTTCTTCAGCCAGCGATCACGTGCCTCGAGCACCTCCAGTATCTCCGATTCGTAGAGCAAACAGTGACCCATCCAGTTGCATATGATGCCATCTACCTTCTCCGGCAATTTAAGATCCTTCATACGTCCGTTAAGCACCTTGATGATCGTTTCAAAGCGATTTTGACGCACCACCAACTCCGCATAACCGGTGACCTTGGAGTAATCCACTGCGTAAACCCTTTTGGCCCCCATTTGGGCTGCCATGAGGGCCAAAGTTCCGGTTCCGCAGCAAAGGACTAGGATTTTGCGACCCTTGAAGAGATGTCGATTCTGATGCATGGCCGATTGAAAGAAGAGCATATGCTGTTGACCCTTTTGCCGGGTTCGCATAGTATCCAGATGAGCAGCGTAATCGTGGCGAAAATCCGCTGAGGTCATGCGATCCACTTCCTTTAGCTCCTGGGGCAAATTTCTTGGTGGCGTCGGAATCCGGGGACTGGATCGTACTCGCGTCTTTGGCCGACCATGAATTGCATCCTGGGGATTTGGCTTCCTTAGTAAAATTTTCTTGGTTTCGTTCGCGTTGCCAGCTTCCCTTTGATTACATGGGTTAATGGGTTTCTCACTTAGCTTAGAAATCTGCTGGTTTTCCCGAATTTTCTTTGGTTCAGTCTCGTTCTTTGCTGATTTAGTGGTATTTTCAATTTGAAACGTAAGATCTTCAAGATTTCTGGAAACTATTGGTAGCTTATCACAATAAACGCCGCGACCACGAGTTCCGCCAACAGATCCATCATTTTTTCGAAAACCAGTCCATTTCTCCGAGTTCATCTCTTTGCCATTCTTTTCCGGGTTAAGTTTTTTGTCCAAATGGTTATGGAAATCAGCTAGGCTAAGTTTTATAGGTTTTCCCGTTTTGAGTGATTTTTTATTCTTCGTCATAGCGGTAAATTCAGATCAATAAAAAAAGTTATGAAGTTCTCAAGAGAGGATCAAAATAAAGCGAGTAAGAGATAAGGTGCCGCAGCAAAAAATGATAGTGACGTCACTTATTAAATTCACTTATTAAATAAACGATCAGTACGATTAAATTTTTGTGGAAAGGATATAGTAAAAATTTAATCCACTAACTGTTTGTAGGGGTTTTATAGACTTTTAAAATTTTTATAAAAGAATTTGTATATTGTAAAACTTATATTAGTTTGTAGAAATGGGCTTTTTTGAAAAATTATTCAAACGTCTTCATATTTATTATTTCATCTATTTAGAGTAAAGGGTTTAAAGTGTTTTTAAAACACCTTTTATTTGAAAACTTATCTCCAAAAAACTTGGTCACCTTCCACAATACAGTCATAGTGATATATCGATAAGAACAATGTGCCCAGCTCCTTTTTCTATCGCTTTTTGATGATTCCAGTGCTTTAAGTGAAACGTTTATTCAAATTCTTAATTTTATGTGAAAAGATTTCGAGAAAATTTTTGTGAAGAAGTGTTGTTTTCAAAAGTAGATTAGTTCTTGTGTTCCGAAAAAAACAAAAAAAATATTTACCACGTGAACCCCTATGTGTTTATAAGGGATCACATGATTAATTAAATAATTTACTTGTTTATAAAAATAAAAAAAATATTTTTTGTATGGTTATAATTTGAAATCCCCTTTATACACTGTTTCGACACCCTGAGTATTCTCTGCTAAAGCGATTCGCATAACTCAACATGTTCCACATTCCGTTGGCCACCTTTTTCTCGGTTTTTGTATCTTTTTTGTGTGTCTTTAACCCCCAATGCCCCACCACACCACCTGGCGATTGATGTGTGCAAGCGAGCATGAAAGAAATGACAAATCTCTGCGCAAACAACAAATAATAGAGCACGAATATTTTCGGCGACGTCGACGGCCGCCGACTTTGTAAATTATACAAATATGCAAATGCAATTTTGTAATTTAAAAACTCGTGAAACTATGTGCTCATAGCTCTGCCATAGCATGTTTCTTTTAATTTGATTGTACATGCCAATTTATTTAACTTGAATTTCGGTGTTTTACATCGTTTTAATTCGTGGGTTCTAATTTTATTTTACTTTGATATGAAAACATCATTTATTTGCAATACAATTATTTAAAAATTCAAGATTTCACTGCCTAAACGGCACGATAATAAGGTTTTATTTGAAGTATACTTGAAAAAGGAGAAAGAAAAAGGTTAATCAACCTTTAAAACTTCCATTTCTTTTTTTTAACTTGTGAAGTTCATAAAAAAGTGCTTCCGCGAAATTCCCAAGTTTTAAGAGAAAACTAGTTTTTTTGGGGTACAAACATTATTACCATTTTCTCTAAAAAGTTGTTACAAGTAACCTTTAACACCATTATTTTAATGCATAGTATTTTCTCTTGTTTACCATTTAAAGGCAATCTATAAACTTGTTGCGAAAAAACGTAAAAAACTTTACGATGTACTGTAAGGTAGTAATTCATTTTTCTCGGTTTAAAACTTATGACTATTTTAAAGCTCTTTATAAACTTCCAACAAATAAAGTAAAAATCTAAATTACTTAAACTTATTTGAAAACTTGTTTTGCTTGAAATTAAGGTTCATATGTACTTTCCAAATTTCATTAAGATTTTTGAAGTCAGTAACACCAAGCTTAAAAAACGAAATTTTACAATGATACCTGAACTGTGGGGTTGGTTAAATAAAACTCGTGATAAAGCAGATGCAAAGTTTGCATTATGGACGCTAGTCTGTTGTGCTCTTTTTGCAATCTTTTCCTTCTGTTTGGGTAATCCGAGGCACCAGAAAATATCGCATCACATTGTCTGGGGCGTCTCCGTTCGCAAACACATCGCAATCGACGTCCCCCCAATCGTCCCGCTCCCATGGCAAAAAATTAGGTTAAAATGTTTACTCGAGCATTGCAGACGGGATTGGCAATAACCTCATTTTCCGTTTTTGCACTTATGTGTGAGTGTGTGTGTGTGTGTGTGTGTGTGTGTGTGTGTGTGTGTGGGCCAGACTCTGACGTAAGAGAAATGTCTGCCTTTGTTGTTGTTATTGTTTTTGTTGGCCTAAGCCCAGCCATAAGTTAACATGCTTTTTGCCGACTGCTCTGCATCTGTCGCTTGTTGTTGTTTATCTTTTTCGTGCCTTTTTTTTGTGAATAAAATAAAGTGACATAATATTAAGGGTAAACCCTGGTTTTTTGTTCTTTGCCCGCTTCTGTTTGCTTTTGGCCTTGTTCGAATCCTTGAAAGTTTCCGACTTTCACTGTGTTTGTTTAGGCCAACCGAAAATTTGCCACTATCCGAAGTTTATAATGACCTTAATGATACTTAAATTTCTTCTCGCTTTTAAAAAAAATATTTTTTATATTTTTTGGTATTTTTTTAATATTTCTGTTCCCAAATGTTGGTGAAATGTTGGCCAGAAAAATAGTTTAATTTCAAATTTAGGAACACAATTCTTTGTTACCAATATATTGAGACCTTTTTAAAATATGAATTTAATTTAATATGAATGCTATAGATTAAAAAATTATTTTAAAATTCATATTTAAAAAGGTAATGTTTACTAAGGAATTTTATAAATTAAAATACACTCTGCTCTCCAAAAAAGGCATTAAATAATTAATTCGGTTTGGTAATTGTACTAATACATATTTTGGGGCCGCCAAAAATTCCGAAACAGGAACAGTGGTGTGTGTGTGCTTGTGTGTTTCGCTCTCACGCGCTGTGTGTAATTGTAATTAATTTATGCACGTCTGCGTCTGGTGCGTGCGTCTGGCATAGATAACGGTTTTAATGAAAGCCCGCTTCGCTCTCACACATTCACACATCCACATTTACATCCACATCCACATCCTAATGCTACTTATGTATTTTGACGCCTACATGGAATGTGTGTATGTGAGTGTGCAGAAATTCACACACTCCAACACAAGCGCACGTTTTAATAATCAATTTGAATTATTCATTGGCTAACGGCGGCAAATAAAATTCGATTAAAACACAACGCCGCTGTCGACGTCGCAGCCATTTCCTCGGCTTCTGCTAAACGCCTTGGGTTATTAGCGCCAATTGTGTTTCGCATTTCCCGCCGCAACAGCCGCCCAACAATCCCGCCCACGCACTTGTCTCCACCGCCGCCATATCCATAGCCATATCCACTTCCATTTCCATATCTCCGCATCCGCATCTTGGGCTTCTAAATGGCTTTTTTGCCCATGGTTCAGAGTGGCTGAGCAATGTTGGAAAAACATTCATTTATTATGTTCGCGGTACAGTAAAAACTCGATAGGGTTCTATTTTGGTTTTTATTGTTTAAGAAACCTCATAAATCTTATCAGTCTTATTATAATCTCTTTACAATAATTCTCTATTTATACTTTTTATCATTATTACTTTGGCGCTACTTTGTACGAAATCTGAAAAATCCGCCTTAGATTAATTGATTTGAGTAAGCACGAATAAGTTGACACAAAAGAGCTGTATTGTCTGCCAATATGAATTATTTGTTTGAATAGAGTGTTTATAAATTCACGGCCATCAAGTCTGCTTTTTTTATTGAGTCCCCACCGTGTCTGATGTGTTTCATTCATAATGCTGATTTGGCGTGGGCAAAGTAAACGCGAACAAAAATATGAAACAAGATTCTAGATGTGGAGAAAAATGAGCAAATGCGCACTGGAAGATGTCAGCAAAGCGAGTAACAATTTGTCAAAGTTGCCGACTTTAATCTTTTGTAATGGGCGTCACACGGAGCGGCACTCCCCCGGCACCATCGCCATCCCCTCGATATGGAATATCTTAAAACCACAATCTGGAAAGCCGACTTAACAACTTTGGCCCATTGAGCCCACGACCAGAAATCCACAAAATCCACACGTGTGGGGGCGGCGTATTTTTTTTTTGTTTAGAAGAGTGTCTTTTTCGTTCGTTCAAGTAAATCCGATGGCCTCAAGGTTAATGCCGGCGTCTAGTGCAAATTCAATAAGCAAATGCCGAGATAAATAAAATATGTAGACAAATGGAAAGCATTTAAATTCGGGCAAATAGGCAAAGCAATGCTCTGACGAAGAAATTGAATATGTCTCGGCCATAATAATAAAGACGCACATATACAGACACCAAATGGAGGCCTCTACAACCCCCCCATCCAAAAAAAAGGGACGTGCTGTGCATTCAACAAACATTGCATAACACTTCGGAATACACACGAAAAAACTGGGGCTGGAGAAGTAGCTACAGCAGTAGCAGCTGTAAAGGGAATAAATCGGTGTAGGCGCAGTTACATAAGACTTTTTGCGTGGGTTGCGACGAAAGCAATTTAGGCATGTCTGCCATGCTGCTGCTGCCACCCACTTTGCCCGCCCATTCACTCCCACTTTTCAAGGACTTTTACTGCATTGGCAGAGTGAGCGATGAGCTGGCTCTCTCTCACTTTTCTGCCCACTTTCCCCACCCCTTCCGTCTGCCACAGTCCCTCCGTTTCGCCAAAAAGGGAATGCATAGGATATTGGCGAGAGCGAAGGAAAAAGGCAAAAGGCAGTGCAGAAATAAGAGGGAAAAAGGAAACTTTCGACACGTGTCTCCTTGCTTTTATGGCCGCACTGAGAGAAACACTCATATTTGTTTCAAATGGGACAATGTGGTAATTAGTAAAGTGTGCAACATAAACAATGCCAGCACGTAATACAAATAATTATATTTTACCTTTGCTTGACTCTTTATCGTTTTTGTAAAGTGAATTGCTAATACATATTTAAAAACTTGAAAGCTAGAATTGGAAGCTTTTAACTTTAAAGTTGCGATAACCCGAATATTTTCGATTAAGTATTTTAGCTTAATAAGACAAAAAACCTCTTTAATCAATAGATTGTCTTTAATGGTACAATTTTTGTTATTTTCTTTTCAAAACTTAAATAAATATGAATATGTTTTTTCTTTCTACATAGTTTCGAAGAGTGCATTTAAGAGACAGACATGCCACCCAATTTCCCAACCATCGGCAGTTGCAAAACTTTTTCTTTTCTTTTTCTTTCCCGTATTTTCCTGCTCTTGTTTTTCTTTTGCTTTTCCCTTTTCTCTAATATTTTCTTTTTTTTTAATGCGAATGCGAAGGGTAAGTACTTACGGGTACAGAATGTTCCGGCTCGGTTGGCAAAAGTGTTGTTGCTTCTGTTGCTGCTGCTGTCGATACTGTTGATGTTGTTGTTGCTGCTGCTGTGGCAGCGGCAGCGGCTACGGCTACTGCTGTCTGATCCGCTGCTGTGGAGCCCGATGTTGATGGTGTTGCTAGTGGCAGGGCCAGAGCCGAGTTGGTTTCCAGTCCAAGCCCGATCCCGATGCCAATCCCAATCCCAGATGACAGCACCGCGTTGTTGTTGCTGCGCCGTCGTTGCGACGAGCGACGTTTATGCCGTATCCTGCGCGTTGTTGCTGCGGTTGATGTTGTCCCTGTTGATGCTGCTGCCTCTGCCGCTGCTGCTGCTGCTGCTGCTAGTGTTGCTGTTGCGTTGGCTGAGCGGCGCAGGGCAATCGCGGCCACCAACACACTGCCACAGGCCAGGCACACGGATAAACTAATGGCGATTAGCAACAAGCGACCTAAAACGATTGCAAAGCGGAAAATATATATTAGTCGTGGGCTTTTAATGTGCGTTTAACCGATAAAAGTATACGTATGTAAGTGCAGTAAGTAATAAGTAAAAAGTTAATCCTTAATAATTAATGATATTTTATTTTTTTCATGTCTACTTGTAATCCAATTACCAGTTTACTCTCTTTTTAAATAATTATTCTTATATTATAATGGAACGGATTATTTAAAATTATTAACTATAAGAACACCGAATAGTTTAGTTAAAAATATTTTTTTTTTATTTTGAACGTATTGGTTTATTGAAACTTTTTAATATAATATATCACCGAAAAGTTTTTGTTTACAATAAAATATATTGTTATTTTAACCGACAACGTAGCATTACTTTTGCAACTACGGTGATTAACAACACTTATTCCTTTAATTGGAATTGCTCCACAATTTTCTACAACATTCGATTTCCCATTCACTTACTTGCAAATAAAAAATTCGATTTTAATTTTCGGTTTTTTTTCTTGTTTAATTTGAATAACTTATTCCCACTCACGAACGGTTTTAATTACTATAAATAAACGAAACAAATCGAATGCGGCCCACAGCACCGACCAAATAACAATGAAAGAGCAACAAAGTGTAAAAAAAAAGAGCAAAGCCCGTGCAACTGTCGCCCGGTTGTTGTATTTCGTAGATACTCGCACGTATTTGTATCCGTATCTACAAGGTGCGCGGCGTTCTCGACTCTCTCTTTAGTTGATTTCGCCCTGTAGAAAGACCCCGTGCAATGTCTACGTCTACGGACGGATAGCTATATCTGTGTATATGCCTACATCACGTATATACGGGCGACTGCGTCTAGACTAGATAGCAGACGACTTAAGTGATACAAGCACATATGCGCGATCGGGCCGCAGTAAGTGCGAGCGAGCCAGCAATTGTAGGCGGACAGCAGTTCGATAAAAAAAAACACCCATTTAAGGGATTGATTGACACATGAAGTACCCTGTAAAATGGGGAAAGTAGGTGAAGGATTTTATAGGCATGGTAGACTTTTGAACTGATTGTTTAATGATTGATAATATAGTTTACAAATCTATAGTTGGCACTTCAATTTGTGACCTAAAATCATTTGTGTTTGGAAGTACAAAGAAAAAATTAGGAACATTTAAACTTTGAAATTAGGCACGTCATTATTGAATTCAACTAAAATGGCATTTAAAATATTTAAACCTTTTAAAATTTGCTAAGTAACAAAACAATTGTAAAGCAATTGTTGACAACTACAAAGAAATAATCAAATATCTGTAGCTGTGCGCCAAAAGTGTTAATCATTACTAGATTTTACACTTACAACCTCTTACAACTTTCACCACATAAATCCCCCCATCGGCATTACAAAGCTAACACGCTTCAATTAGTAATGGGTATTATATAGACGATATCGCCGGGCCAGACACTGCTGATAGAATGGCAGACAGGCGGAGGCCACCCGTCGCGGTCGCAGACCCTGTAACAGAGCAAACTCACAGATACAGATACTCGCCGAGACTGGGATACAGATACACGCGAAAAGCTTGCGCAACACGATTTTACAACTACATACACTATAGTGGAATAATATCATGACGCTCTGTCTCTGATATGCGATTACAAAAACAACACCGATCGACACCGATCCACAGCGCAATTTCATCAAGCCAAAAAAATGACGCAGCTATGTAAACGTCTCTATCTCTGTATTCCGACGATCGGTGAATGAAAACATAAATATTTGGATTTTCATTAATTTATGATTTGTGGCGGCATGAAAAAGAGAAAATATACATATATTAGAGGCGAAACAAACAAAGAAACCAGACAGACAGACAGACAGACATGAACGAATTATCCAACAAATGCCAGACCAGACAGACAGAAGACAGGAGTTAATCAACTGAAATTAAAATGTACGTTGTGAAAAGGCACACAAAACAACGGCAACCAATTAAAATATGTCAACAATTTCTATGACTCTTTCTCCGTCTGACTTCAGCTCAAGCGAGACAGCGACAACAACAACAACAACAACAAAACACGTAAAAAAAAGAAAACTAATATTAACAGGTACAACAACAAGTGGCACTTTAGACTTTTGCGCATTCCCAGCCGCTGTCACTCGGATTCAACTGTCTCAGGTGACTCAACCTGGCTGGCTGGCTGGCTGACTGGCTGGCTGACTGGTTGTCATTTGCTTTCGGTCTGCCTTTTATGGCCTTTGTTTTCTGATAATTATTTTTGCCTGCTCAGCTACCCTGTACCGCGAACTGTAGAGCGTGACAATAACTGATGTACACAGTGATGGCGTGGATACTTCACTTCCAACACAAATATTAGTTTTATGTTTGGATCTCCACAAGTTTCATATCATTTAAAGCAGACTCTTACAAATTCGTTATATCTTAATCTTTATTTTCGATAACATCTTTCAATATTATATAAAAGCCCATTAATTTATCAATTTATCCATATTTTCTAATAATATTTTTCAGTTAACGGGACGTTTATAGTTTAATTTTAATTTACCATTTGGATCATAAAAGTTTAGTAATGTTTAAAAATAGTCACTGGGATTAGAGCCGGTTTTAAAAGACACACGGGGTAATTGTTCGTTTGATCACATCTCAGTCTGATCGTTATTTTGTATTTTTTAATTGTGCCACTCGTTTCAGGTTGTTGCAATTATTTTTATCGCAGGTGAAATGATTGAGCACGTCTGGGGACTTCGTTTACGTCTGGAGCCGCGCACAAAACATGCATAAAAAAAAAATATATATATATATATATGAGTACATGTGCAGCTAGACAAATCACCTGATACCCTATAAAACCGGGCGCGGGGAAAGAGAAAGGAATGTATACCTGGCAACAGTTCAACTGTCCGCCGGTTTCTATTTGATTGAACCTCTGACGCACGTGTGCCCGCCAACTATTGAAAAAGTGCTAAAATAATTGAGCGAATACAGATTCAATATGTGAATTGATCGCACCAGACGCAAATCGGACCCCAGCCCAGACCGACCGCATATACTACTTCTGCTTAATAGACCTCGCACCCGGCCAAACCACATCAAATGGGACCAGCCAGACCAGACGGATCAGACAGTTGGCTAACACTTTCTGAGATCCATAGCCGCGACCAAACGGCTTTCATGGCTATTTTAATAGTGAAACGGACATTGAACGGACAGTGGGCAAGCTGGCGAAACTTGTTTCGATCTCTCTGAATAGGTTCCTTGACCGCCACAGATGATAATGTCTTCATACAATCAAATCTCTGTCCTTTTCGGCGATGACAATTGCATTTGATTAAGTGCGCGCGAATTCCAAGCCGCGAAAGATGATCACTTTCGATCAACTTTCCTTCTTGCTCTGGTGAGCACAACAAAAGTTATTAATTCAATGATTATGATCAGCGCGCTAATGACAGTCAAGTGCAGCACTTGATCCCACCCCCGAAAAGCCCCAAAATGCCCAATACACCGCCCCGAAAAAAACATTCGAAGGCAATGCCATTGACACCTTGATTGGATGTCAAGGTTGTGCGAGGATCGTCGCATTCTACGTGGGTACATAAACTAACTAAAGCCATTATCATAAGCATTAACAATCATAATACATTGAGGTGACATTGAACTTGAAAAATCCAGTTAAATTGTGTGTGCCTTTGTTGCGTTGCTTTAAGTTTAGATTTTCTCGGCATCTTGCGTGATATTTTGATGCAATTTAAGAGCGATTTATAGCGTTGGATTTCAACGGGATTTCTACAGAAAGTGTTTTCTAGGTATTAAGGAATTTAAACTACCATTTGTGACTATACCAAATCATACATTTAAGTAAAATATTTTACAGATAATCTTTTGTATCTATAAGATTTATTTTAAATAAACAATTGTGACCACCACATAAACAAATACATTCGGGTAATTTATGATCAAATGGAAAAGTTTTAATATGGTTATATTTGATTTAGACAATGAAGTCGTAAAAGTAGAACTAATACGAAGAAGTAAAACTGGTTTCAGGCATATCCAAACGTAAACAAAAGTATTATCATAAACTTTTGGACTGACTTTGATTTTGAATACAGAATCATTATACAAGATTGCAGTTTAGATTTCATTCGGAAACTTTGGTAGTATTTTGTTTAGCCTTGGTGGAAAAGGGGAATTCTAGAGCCAATATATTAAGTAGAAGCAGCAGCATCATCAGCTGACGTCAGCTTCGTCTGCAATCGGGTTTCTATTTATTTATATTTTTGCTTATTTTTTTTTTTGGCAACAGTTTTTGTCTAGTTTGTGCAAAATATTACAATGTTGTCTGGCGCAGAAGATGAAGAGTCGGTGTGCCCGCTCTTTGGCCACCTCCCGTCAGCATTTTTATCCCTTTTTCGTTGCTTCCCCTGTGAGAGGCCAACCCTTTTTGCATTTTTTTTTACTTTTTGTTTGCAGCTAGACTGCGCACGGCAACAGACAGAAAAAAGCAGGCAAAACCAGAGGCAGTGGCAGGGAATGCAAATGAATGAGCTAAATGCAAAGAGGCAAAGGCAGAGGCAGATTGAAAAATAAAAACTGAAACAAACCGCAGACAGAGAAAACAGCGAGCTACGTCGACCTCGCCCAGGCAGCAGCGTTTTTCCATCATCATCATCGCAATGATGATGAGGATGTCGTTTGACCTTTAAGCGAAGCGAGTGCATTCCACCACCAGCAGCAGCAACAACAACAACAACCTGGCGGAGAGAATCCCATTTTGATTTAATTATTTACTTTTCGCTTCTTTTAACGCCTGGACCTTTACACTGTATTAATGTATTTTTATTATTTTATTTTCATAATTCGCAAACGCATTTAATTAATGGGAAATCACGTGGCAAATTGTGCAAACACCTCGTATGCGCAATAATTCAACGGTTACGTATACGCAACGTATTGCCTTTTCTTAGTGTGTTTGCGATTTCATCATCTTTTTT